TCTAACCAATCAATGACTATACTTGATCTCAGCATTCGATTCGATAAAATAAAGTTTCTCAAGATCGTCGAACGAGTGAAAATATTTCTTCCAATCCTCCAATGGTCGTGAGGTATTTTTATTCCAAATCGTCCACCGCGGCATGATTGGCTAAAAGTCTTGAGCTGGAGGACGCGGCATGCCTGGCGTGATCCATGATGGACGGGGTGTCCATGAGTAAAGATCGAAAGTCGCTGGGTCATACCGCTCGGCTGCTGTCGCGCTCGGTGTCGCGCCGTGGACAGCAGGTGCGGTTCGTGGTTGCTGGGGGCCGCTGAAAAATCCACCTGGTACAAACTTCCAAGGTTTTAAGAGCATGAGGCTTTTAGCCAATCCTGCTGTGGTGGACGATGTGGAATAAAAAATAAATACCTCAGGAACGTTCAACATCACGAGAATTTTTTCCCTCGTTGGACGAATTTGAAAAATGCATTAAAATCAAGTTAAACCAGCTAAGCACGTGCATGGTGATTCAAAGTCGCGCAACTCATAGGAAGCATTCCCTGCATGCGCGTGGTGGAGGCGGCAGGGAGCCGCCGCGGCTTATGCGATGGAAGTCATGGAGAGGACTACCACCACACGGACGAGAAGGTCCAAGCGGCTTCAACTTGACCTAGCCAGTCTGGGGTGGTTTCACCTTCACACGTAACCGCAAGTCGCATCCGTTCGAGTGGAAACTGCTAGTTCAACCTAGTGCACCGAGCGGAACGCGTCATGACGATTCATGCGTTCGTAAGCGGTCCACCAGGAAGCGGCAAGACGTCTCTATGCAAGAAAGTGTGTGGGTTGCTTCAGCTCGAACACCTTTCGACAGGCGACCTCCTCCGCGAGCACATCAGGCTTCGGACTGAGTTGGGTAAAGTGGCAAAGAAATGCATCGCCGCCAAGACACTCGTCCCGGACGACGTCGTGATCGACATGATCGTGGATCGCATCGCCAAGGTCACCGGCTCCGCGGGGTGGATCCTCGATGGGTTTCCTCGTACTGTCGAGCAGGCCAAGGCATTGCAGAAGAAGGGCGTGTCTCCTAACGTCGTCCTAGTGCTAGAGGTACAGGCGCCGCCCCTCCACCTGCTGTAGCTCTCCAATGCTTACCATGCATTCCAAAACGGTAGCTTCCATCGTCGGAAGTCCGTGGCCGCCTCGTTGGCCGCCGCTTTGACCCCAAGACAGGCGAGATTTACCACTCCGAATTCAACATGCCTCGGGATCCCGAAACCGCTGCCCGGCTCATTCGAGTACACTGCCGCTCTCCTAACTCAATTGATACGTCGATAAAAAGGTTTGCCTGCCTCTAGCGAGATGACGATGTCCCCGACAAGATTCCCGCCCGCGTCGACGCTTATGCATGTTACGGGCACGACACGAACCGAGAGTTCCTCGGTCTAGCCTTCCCCATCGATGCGGATGCATCCCTGGGTGACGTTGTCGGGGAGGCCGTGCAGATTCTGCGAAGCCAGCACAAGAACAAGCCACAGGCGACGTCGAACCAAACATCCAACGAGGCGGGGACCACAACTGGCGCGGGCAGTTTCCAGCGATCACCTCCGTTGGAGCCATCCTCGAAAACGGTATTGAAGCAGCCTTCTCGCCGGTTTGTGCGTGACATTGGCATGGCTAGCTCGAGCCCGAAGAGACCGAATTCAGCCCGCCCAAGTCGACGACATTCCTTCGCCGCGCTGGTGGCGGCTCTGCAACCACGACCCCGTCGTCCATCAAGATCGATCATGAAATTCAACGTATTGTTCTCAACAACTCGCACGAGAACAGAGTCGCGACCCCTGCAGCCCCCACCGCCCTGGTACTGAACCTGAATTTTCTGTGAAGATGCTGGCACTCACTGCGGGATGGTAGGACTTGGCAAAGCAGGTCGACTCGGAGCGCTTCAAGACGATGCTGATTTCTGGCTTTGATGTCATCAAGCACGGTCGCCGCGGCGCTCCCCACACGCGCACGGTGCTCGTATTACATGTTGCGTGCGGTGTGACTGAACACGTTGGCACTAGCTCTTCTGCGACGTCGAGTTCAAGCGCCTGTTCTGGCAAAAGCCCGACAAAAAGGAACTCAAGGCCAAGCTAGACCAAAGCATTGCGATTGCGGACGTGATCCAAGTTGTCCAAGGCATGAAAACGGACGTGTTCAAGAGGTCGGGCGACACGGCCAAGACGAATCGATACCTGTCGCTGATCGCTGACGACCGCACGTTGGATATCGAAGTCGCGTCGGAAGAACTTTGCGTGCTGCTCCTGAATGGCCTCAATGCCATGTTGGTGTCGAGTTAATTCGACACATCCCACTCGATTGCATGATGACACTGAGATCCGACTGGTTGGCGCTCGTGTTGAGTTGAGAACGGCCTGCACTACAGCCCACGTGCAGCCTGCCACGTCGTATCCATGAAGAGGGGCCCTTTCCATCTTGTTCAAGTCGCGTTCACATTGTTCCAGCTATTGTTGAATCCAATTCTTTCCATTCTCATCAAGATGTAGAACTCGTTTCTTGAAGCGTGCAGCGTGGATGGCGCCGCCACTTCTACACACATAAAAGTTCCTTTTCTTTGGCACGGAGTTTTCAACAGCGATCAAAACGAGCCATCATACTTTTCAGTATGCTGGCCATCTGAACCTGCAGCTTATCGTGCACTCGACGGCTACGCATCACACTCTCATCGACGACTTCTCAACAGGTTTCGCTCCGACGCAGCAACTTCGAAAATGGTGTGCGGTGACCACCAATACAAATCGCGCCAATTAAATGCGCCGTAGGATATCCGGATGTTTATCCGAACACGCTAATGTATGTCAATTCAAGTACGGGATAAACGTACTGCATTTTGAGCTCGATTTCGACACCCGATCGAATTTGGGTGGCGCGACGATGGCGTTTCGAGGTCGTGGACGGGGACGCGGCGGAGGCGGCGGCGGCTTCGGCTCTCGTGGCATCAGCGTGGCGGACATCGTTGGCAGCACCATGGACGAACTCGGCATGTCACATACCCAATTGGTCAACCTCACGGTATGGAATCCTGTCAACTGCATGTTGTGTCATGGTAGGTGTTGTAGGGCGAAGGAAACGCATTGTTTCCCCCTGTGAAACTTCCTGCGCCTGTGAAGCTGTCCGACTCGGACATGTACCTCGTGCACAAGATGCGCGTCGTGTCGGATCGCATGACACACTTGTACCCCGTGTCGAATGCAGCCGACGCGGAGCAGGAAGTTATCCATGTCACGGCCCCAGAGGTAACCTCTCAGAAGTCGTTCCAGCATCCCATGAAGTTGTTCATCAGGTGAACTTGGAAGATCCAAATATGTGCTACGTCCCAAAGGAAATCTACGAGAACATTCGACACGACGGAGCTGTCGTTGGCGGTGCGACTTCGGCAATTCTCCGGCCGCGCGCATTCGAACATACCCTCAAGTCGTTGGAACAACGCGAACAAAAGTCAAAAGGCCCTGAAGATGCCACCGCTGCTGCAGCTTTCGACGACCTCGACATGGATGAAGACGACTTGGTACAGTTCCTTGCACTTCAATCTCCCGTTGAACGCGCACTGACACTCTCCTCATGCAGGAAGATGACGAGGACGTGGACTACGGCGTCGATCATTATGCGAGTGAGAATGACGACGACGATTTCGACGAAGAAGCTTTTTAACATTAATCGTGTATGCACATGTGGGCGCGGGGGGAGTATCTGTGCGGTGGTGCTGTTCTCTGCGATGCTCCTGATCGTACTATACCACGCGCTCCCCAGGCAAAAGCCCGCCGCCACCCTTGTTCGGGTCGTCGTCTTCATCGTCCTCCGAATCCTTGGGGTCCTTCTCCAGCGCGCCATTCCCATTGATGTGGTCGTACATGACCGCTGGCGCCAAATTCATCAGCTTGGGGCGGGAGATGACATCGCCTGGACGAGGTCGTGTGCGCGGCCGGCCGCGTGGTTTGCCTGATGTACTTCGAGACTTCTTCTTGAGGTCATCAACCAAGACTACAGAACCACGAACGTGATCACGGCCCATGAACCAACCCGACAAAATGCACTAGACCATACCCTCCTTGGAAGATGCGCCAGCGCTGCTGTGATCCTCAACGGATCCCGCCTTGACGACGGATGTCGTGGCTCCATCGAGTTCTTTGCTGTTTTTTACTTGAGGTGCAACCATGATTGGGTTGACGGGGAACTTGAATCCAAGCGGCATCAAGGGCATACCGAATGGCCACATGGGCATGGACAGTGGTTGATCGGCAGAGTTGATCGATTGCGTCGACTGCTGGGCAAGGGCCTTCTTGGACGGTCGGCCACGTTTCTTCTTCTTCGGGACTTCGTCAACGAGACCGACTCCACCTCCTTGCGGGAATGGCATCATCATGGGCATCATCATCGTCATGGGAAACATCATGGCGGTCATGGGTATCACAGGCGCACTAGCTCCAGTCGCATCTTTCTTTGGGAATTCCTTTTTGTCTCCAGACGACACTTCGTCGATCTTGTCGATGGTTTTCTTGTCATGGTCGTCCAGGGGCTGGGCCGCGGACGGCGACTCTGAGTTTTCTCCTTCGTCGTCATGGTTGTCGTCGGCCCCGCTTCCGTCGCCATCCTCTGGCTTGGGCAGCTTGCGCTTCTTCCGCAACACGAGGTCTTCCGCCTGTTGCTTCATGTGGCTTTGGAATTTTGAAATTGGATCTGCTGCTGGAATTTTAACCAACCTTCGCGAAGCGTGACTGCATACAAATTTCAAGTCAAAACCTCCAGGGGGAGTCCCCGAGCCCTTCTTCTTTCAACCATTTCAGCCAATCAGAGGCCAGAAGAATCCAATCCAACTGGCTATATCTCTCTTTTCAGCCAATCAATTTGCTAGAATCGTTACCACCCCTGGCGACACCCCCTCCAAAAACAACGGAAATTCCCCCATTTTTTTATGCCCAATCGCAGCTGCATATCAAAGACTGAGCCCCGAATGTGGAGCAACCACGTCGAAGCGATGCCTTCAACGTGTTCATGCGCTCCTCCACGTGCATGGTGACCCTCACAAACTCCCATGTCGACATCTTCCCCGTCCAGCTCCTGTTTTAAGCCATTCCGCTCTCGATTCCACCGTATTCGATACGTCCCACATCGTCGTGCATTTAATTTCGAAGCAACCGTGTGTTCACATGGATATGCCGACAAACAGCTCGAGCGCAAGGAGGCATGCCTCCAGACGAGAGCGTCGGGGGCATCCTAACGGCAGCACTTGCTTCAACTAGAGCGGATGGTCTTGACCAGAGTACATTCGAACCTTTGTAAAAAGTTTGATGGAAAGGCTGCTGGTTGTACCTGTGGCATTGCATGCTCCTCGACCTCCGAAAACGCGAACTTCGACGTACCACACCATCCGACTACGTCGTCTTGAGTTCTCGTGGATCTTCATGGTCTACCCACACGCTTGTCTCGCCACAGCCCTTGTTCTAGAGATGATGGTAGCCCAACCGACGTGCCCGCACACTTCCTTGGCGCCCCCCCCCCATCGTGCATCCGTGTGGGATGAAGGAGGAAGATTTGGCATGAACCAATCAAACAGCCTGAATCAGTCGAAGTTCGAAGACAATTGCACTTTGCCTTCGGATCCACTTCCGATTGAGCAACGACATTGTCATGCGCGTTCCATTCGTGGCGGTCGTGGCCGTGGTCGGCGCGTTCTGCAGCGTCGTTCTGTGGTACTCTGTCAAGATGGTCCCGGATGAAGCCATCCTTAGTACGTTGTAGCTGACTCCATTGACGCATGTAGCTCACGACTGGAATGGAACAGGCACGGACTTCCGCGACGGGATGAATGTGATCACAGACGAGCGCGCGCTTTTGCGACGAACTGTTGAGCGACCGTACGATGCACAGAACCCCACAGGCTTTCCATCGACAACAGCACCCCCGAGCACCACTTTCACCACAACAACAGGCTTACCCACGACAACATCCTCCGCTCCAAACATCACGATAACGAATGCGACCGTCACAACTTCATGAACACACTCGAGTTGGAAGGCTTAAATTATGCTTGTCGTTTATGTGCTGCTGGTCTATCGTGGTCACTTGGTGATGGCCCCTTTTCGCTGGTAGAACAAAATGTACGCGCTGGAACTGGCAGCGTGGGGCTTCTTGAGCGCCGACACGGTCTCGTCGTTGAAGTCGTACCAATTGCCATTCTCCGGGTTGCGGCACTCCCTACGCGCGGCGAAGCTTCAGCATCCTTTCACGCTATTCTCATATTCGTACGCCGTGTAGTGGCCGCCGTTGAGTGTGCCCATGTGATGGATCATTCCAACGAGGTCGTATTCCCAGCACTTGTCGTAGTCTAGCCATCACCCGTCACGCACGCAAAACACCGACGACACGTACAGGCATTATCTTTGCTGCAAAAGTCCTTGATGTCGAGGCCTTCGGTGGGAAACTTTACCGCCGTCGACACTTTGTCGCGGCTAAATGTCGAGTACGAGAATCGCTTGAGGTGCAGCACGAGCACATTGGGGCACCTACGTGCAGCTGAATCCGTCTTGTACTCCACCCATGTCCACTTACCGTTGCAAGCAAATGGACTTGACCACGGACCGGTGTGTCTTGCAGCTGCTGCAATAGAACGCATCTTCGTCCTTCAGGTGCTCTTCCTCCGTGTACGCCCGGAGACACTCTTGCACCGTGCACATGCTGCTGTCGTCGTCGTCGGAGGAACTCTTCAGCGCACCGAACCGGATCATGCCGCCTTTGGCCTTCTTGGGCACGGGCAGCTACTTGCCCGTCACATCGATCACCCAGCGGAGAGTATTGCCGTCCGTACCGACAAGTCCCAGAATACATCAAAGCATATCGACCGGTGCCTGCAAGTCTGGCACGTCACTTCGGATCGGAGCTGGCCACAAAACTGCTCTGACAGCGCGCTCGAGTTGCGCTTGACGTAGTACTGCCAGTACTCTTCCGAAATGTCCCGCTCCGACGCCTGCGGACGATCTAGCAGGCACGTTTCAGAACCAACGCTGCCTCCGTTGTCGCCGTGCATGTACCTGGAATTTCGTAGTATGGAGGCTTTTTCAAGATTCGATTCAAGTCTTCGTGCAGCCCATCGAGGAGGAACCGCAAGAATTCCTGGGCGTCGTGCTGGTCATACCCGACAAAGCGAGATGCGAGCTTCCCAACCACCCGTTTGAGCTCGACCGGCCGCGTCGACGAGAACTCGGCCCCGCTCCACAGCGCTTGCGACAAGTCCCCAAAAACGCTATGGACGCGCTGAAAAGTCATGCGTGGGTACGATGGCAGTGTACCACGCGAGTTTGCCGTGCGTCGGACTCGATTCGTTCAACTCGTTCAGGTGGCCATTGCTTCGAAAGTATTTCATGACGCTGTGGACGTTATTGAGACACTGCAGGCAGCTGTTCATAAAGCTAAACGCTCCGTCAGGTGGACGAAACAGACTGAGATGCAAGTACCAGGTATTGCCGAGGTTTTGCAGGCCCACCGCGCCTTTGACAGAGGTCGACCCACCCACAACAATCGATGGCTGCAACGACGACGTGGACGGCGACCGCGCGCTGATTAGAGCAATGGTCTCCAACTTGTCGCTTGCTGTGGCATCTCGTCTTGGCTCTTTGTTGCTGGATGGCTTTGGTCCGGAGTAAGCCACCGAGTTGATGGAACCAGCCGGAGGCAGCACCAATTTGCCATTCCCGTCCTCGTCGTAGTTCATGTCGCAGTCGTTGTAGTCCGCGGACAATGGAGCTGGCCGCTTGGCATCCTCCGCGGTGGCCGTCCCAGCCGGCTGGTTGTTCAAAGCATGCAACGTCGTGCGTGGGGACTCCCGCAACGTGGAGCGAGATGAAGGCCCGCGAGCAAGGAGTCTTGAATGCAGGCGGGATGATGATGCTGAGGTTGATGAGTCAATATGGTCTGATAGTTGCTTGCGTCGCGAACCCGTTCGATTCGACACTACAAGGACAATTCGTTCGTTCGTGAGCACAATCACAGAGCTCAAATCATCGCACCCATGCGCTCCATCTTCTGGAGCATGTCTTCGTCTGTCGAGCTGCAGGCCACTTCTACGTTGTTGCTCGCTGCTCCTGTTACTGCACCAAGACCGTGTTGCTGCTGCGTTTGCTGGGGCGCCGTCGAACTCTGCCACGATGAATTCGCCAGGCTCAACGCGGCAGTCTTGGCCATAAAGATGTCGATCGTGGTGCGAGGCCACCGGGTTGGTAAATGGGTGCTCGCCGCCCGACTCCGTGCCTTGTCTCCAAGGTTGGGCCTGTGATTGGTCCGTTGTTTTTGGAAGCTCGACGGCGATTGGTTCATTTAGCCAACGCCTAGATTCAGCGATTTGATTGGCTCACGAGAATCTTGTAGAGCCACATAAGACTTTAGTAGATTACATGGAATCACGACATGAGTGCGTCCTGGAAGACATCGTCGGGGCTGACGATGCGCGGCTGGCGCAGACTAACGTCTCCATTGTCCTCGCTGTCGTCCGCCACTTCATCGTTGTCGTGTTCGACTTCCTCGACTCCATGACGCGTGATGCTCATGGCGGCGATTGTGAGCGCCTCCTTCAACGTGTCTACCTCGTCCTTGTACTCTTGCAATGCTAGATTTAGGGTGGCCTTGGCTTGGTATTCCTTCTCCAGTGCGTCGTTCAGGACCTGGACCTTCAGTGCCGCAGCTTCCACTGCCTGGATTGTTCATGATGTTGCATGAGATCGATGGAGAATTGCACTGGAAAGACGCGCTTACTCGCTTTTCAATGTCCAAGAGATCGGCGGTTGCAGCATGCCGAGAGCGCTCGTCGTTGAGGTATGTGTTGACCAGGCGGAAGACTCGCCACAGTCGAAGCACTCCAAGGAGTCGCAGTCCTGGGACAGATCCACGTAAGTACAGGGCATACGCATGCAAACACACGACGTCGACGAACCTTTGGATTGCCGCGAAAGCTCCCATGACAGCGACATGAGTACCACCAAAAAGTCAATGCTGTACCCGACGTGGGTGAAAAATGCGAGCTGGAAGACCCACACGAGCGCAGTAAGTTCGATCAGGAACACAAACAACGTAAAGCCACCAAACGATTGCAGAAGCTGCCCGAGGAGCGGGGGAACGATCACGCCGGTCTGTGTGAGAAGGTCGAGAACGAGCCCAGTTGCTGCTGCCGCCACGTCCAACACGACGAGCGAGATCATGACGATTTGTGTTTCCCTCCATTCAATGAACGCTCCGATCGCTTGTGAGTTGGACCGCCCCACCGCGACGTAGTGGGCACTGTCGTCGCCCGCCGCGGCCGCCTTGGTTGGTTCATGCATGTGGATCTTGAAGCGGTGTCATCAGTTGTGTTGGATACAACCTTTCATAATTAATACTTCGTCCGCCTTCCTCAAATGTATGGGTGGGCAAATTAACTCGACGGAAAGCCTGACGGAAAGTACCAAGGGGCTTAGTGGTTTCAATCTTTAGTGTTCGCACGTCGATGGATGTAGCGCGGTCGGCGCGGCGTTCGCGTTCACCGTGGTGCATGGGATGGAAATCCTTTAAAAACGAATATACTTTATACATTGATACTTGTTTGGGCAATTTTATCGAAGAATACAGAATGTGTAGAGGGGGCGCTCGTATAGTGAAACCAAGTGAAATCTTGCCCTGGAAGGAATGATTCGACCATTTGACGACGATGGCGCGCGAGGACAGCAATGTGCCGGTGCTGGAGGCGGCCAGGGAAGACGAACCGACGAACAATCGAGGCAACTTCACGCGCAACTTGAACAAGGAAGACGATAGTTCCGTCGCGAAGAAGATGTTCTTTGGTGGCCTCGCGCTCCTGCCGTGGCTCTGGGCGGTCAACGTGTTCCACTACCGAGCGCAATTCGTCGACGGCACCATCGACCCAAAAACGACGATCTGTACGTTTGTAGCTCACATAGCAGTGCACGCTCTAGTCCGATTTCATGCTGCTCTATTCAGGGGTGCGTCGGTCGTTCGTTGGCTTCGTCATTGTTACCCTCATCTTCACGGCGTGGGTTGTCACGTTCCAGCTTTCGTGGAAAACGAACGGGTGGCAGAAGCTGCTGCTCGTCGTGCCTCCAGAAGACCTCGACCGCGGGTGGTAGTCGAATTCGCACGAAGTATACCTGCACAGAGACTTTACGTATACGATGCGCCTGTTTGTTGTTACGTGTCATCTCGGGTACTGCTGCACCCCATCGGAGGTGGAATTGTCGCGAACGACCTTGTAGAGGTAAGCCTGACGTCTGCAGCGGGGTCTCAACCTCGCGCGACATCTATTCACCACAGCATGGACATGTGAGGCCGTGAGAAGGACCATACCCAACGCTGTCACCTATCCAGGAAGCGTGCTGTGTGTAGATGTGGTGGTGACGGATGGAGAAGGGCGCCAAAATCGCAACCTCTCGACTCCACGTCGACAAGGCAATGAAGTTGCCGAGCCCCACTCTGTCTCCAGCACATGAGGGAATACCGTCATTCGAACATGCCCACAACAATTGCACTCGCACCGCCGCCAACGTGAACACGAATCGTTTCAACTCGGGGTAGCCTTGTAGGCACATGGCGCCAGCGCACCCGAGAGCCGTCTGCCCCGAGATGGACGCCATGCGGCCCTGCACGATGGTCATTTTACCCTTGGCGACGATGGAGTGGTTGGTCGGGGCACTCGGTATGGATCGCTTCGAGCTCGAAGGAGTTGGCTCCAACACACGTTTGCCATCCTCCTCGGCAAGACACTCGTCGAGTTTTGTGTCGATGACGGATGGCGACGAGGACGCGTCCAGCCCCGCGTTGAATCGATGGCGCTTCAGCGGGCATCGCCTCCGTTCGATAACGTGGCCGCTCACCACAACGACGAGTCAGGTCATGATCGGTGGGTGGGTCCGGAGGAATGCGGGAATGAATCATGCACGACGAAGGCTCAAGAGGCCGTCGTCCTGGCGAAGACGGGAGGTGGCCGGCGAGCTTGCTCTGAGCTTTTGCGCTGCTTCGTCCGCCATTCATGCTCACAATGCACGCTGACGGACGCGATGCCGTTTACTGCACCCGTGCGACACGTGAAGATCCCACTCGGGATAACCGGCCCACCCGCGGAAACTCGAGTTGCGGCTGCTCTCGACGAAGTACTTGCATCTTCACTTGGAACGCGGGCGGTGCAGAGCGCGCAAGAGGACGTGTAGGCTGATAGCGCGGTGCGCGTGAGGTCAACTGCCCCCCCCTTGACTAGCTGCGGTTCGGTTCATGCAGATTACGACTGTGGAGTTCTTTCAGAACATGCAAGTTCGGGAAAGAACGGCGGGGTTGAGTCGAATGCCCCGCCGCATCGGCCATCTCTTCCACCGTTCGTTTGCTTTCAGTTGGACAAACTCTACTTCATCGAGATGGCCGTGGGCTGCGTCGTCGTCCAAGGCTAGAGCATCCCTCGGTGCGATTCACCCGGAGGTACACAACGACGTCGACGGTGTCATGACTTGCAGTCTTCTCCATGATCTTCGTCGTGCCGATTGCAATCGAGATCGGTGTCGTTGACGATCGAGAATGGAGACATTCTCGATGCAAAACCACGCGTGTTTGACGAACAGTCCACGTCATGCATGCTCGTACATCGTGGCGGCGCTCCAGACGCTTGGGGGTCGGTCACGACCGCCGCAGCGGCCATCCATCGCCGCGGTGTCGCCACCTCATGAATTACCAGTATAACGCGTTATACTCCAGGATATCAAGGTATTATTCATTTATAAGATTCAACGTACACTGTGAAACTTTTTCGAAACTCCGCCGTGCTTACAGGTCATCTGCATCAGCATGGCAGGCACAAGGCTGCATGTGCTCCTGAGCTTCTTGGTCCCTTTCCTCTGCATCGGGCCGTACGCTTACCATCTCTTGCAAGTGCCTCGCTCCCCGCTCCCTGTAGACGACATCCATGCTATTGACTTGAACGCATCCACGGAAGCCCTGAGATCCCAACTTTTGGATTCGCAGACGATCACTGTTTTGCAGGCAATCGAAGCTGCTCCTTCGTTCCCAGTGCTTCCTCGAGTGTCTAGAGTCTCATTGTCATCGTATCCTTTGCTCTCGTCGGTCCTTCCATCCCTCGACGGCTCTCTGCAAGCACAAGACGTAGAAGTGAAGTCGTGGCTCGAATCCGCAAACTTGACCGACAGTGCAGTTGTTGTGCTGCTCTGTCGCGAGGACTCCAGTGCGGAAACACCTCTGCCTGTAACGATGGGGGCACATCGTCACGGGTGGTCAGCAGGATGTCATTTGTCCATCGACCAGCAGCACGTCCTCCTCGACACCCTCTTTCCTCCCTCGTCAGGCCAACATGCGTCGTCCGTCGCAAAGCCAGCGCTCAAGTACCGCTTCAGCTTCACAGTTCTCAACGAGAAACCGCATGAAGACGTTGCGGTGGCTGCTGCATGGAGTACCGCGTTGGGGACTGCGATGTCAGTCTTTGAACCCTTCGCGGACGTCGTTGCAGCATCTCTCGCCGCAGTCACGATCGCGACCCAGAGGGTGGAGTATGGCAAACTGGCCAAGGTGTGCCAGACATCCGTTCCCAACTTTAAATTCCCTGTCTGCACACCAACGTAGGCCTACCGCAAGGACGAAGTGACGAAGGAAGCGTACGTAACGACGGCGGACCTCCAACACGTAAATGATTTCCGCGCTGATTGTCCCTGCATTCGTCCTGACTCGGTCGTGACTGCAGTTCAAATCCGCCAACGACTTCGCAACCACATCCATCTTGGCAGACCGCGAACGAGTCGTGCATTTTGTCGTATGTGAAGCAGTCGCCAACGGGTCCTCACTTTGTTCCGTGGCTAGGCCGCGATTCCCACCGCCGAGTCGTTCCACATTCGATCGAGCAAACGCAATGCGCAACCCGAATATGCTTTTGAGATCCCTGGCTACGGCATCGTCGCGATCGTCCATGCCCCTGACGACGTGCCTCGCATCATGCGCATGTTTGTCGCCCACGGCCGCCACCTCCTCGGCCTCGCTTCCTTTCCGCACTCGACGCCATCGGTCACGTTCCTTCCGTCGCCTTCTGGCATAGCCACATGGGAGGTCGACATGGTGGTGGCGAAGTGGCTCCTCCGGTGCGACCTTTCCTCCATCTGTGGCATTCTTGATGACAGTCTGCAGGCACTGGCACTCGACCATCCACACGCTGCAGTCGCTCGTGTCGCTGGTGGAGTCGATGCCACAGATGGCAGTGCTTCCGCGTACCCAAGCACTAGTGACGGCATCGCTTACGTCTGTGCAGCAGGCGAGTCACCCGCAGCCAGTGCAGAGCAAGCTGCTGCATGTCCGACGTGCGTTGCTTGCCGTGGAAGAAGCTTACGACGACCCGACTATGGTGTCGCAATTATACTTTCCCCAAGACCAGATCTACTTTGTCTTTTGCCCGCTGCTCCTGCCGCTCTTGTTGCCGCTGGTGGGAGGCCTCGTCCGCGAAGGCAAGCGATACCGGCAACGCCAACCTGCGCCGGTACCGAAATGTGACAATTGACAGAGCATAAACGACGTATCAAACATCGTCATGTGCGTCGAAATCGACACAACAAATGGAGAACAACCGCTCATGTATTTACACGCAGCCATCGAATCCCGCGCAGGCCGTTCCCCGCCGCCACGTTTGTTTCGATGCCGTTGATGATGTACCCGTTGGCTGACAACAAATGGATGTCGAGATGAACATCCACCCGTGTAAACGCATGCAGATCGAAGTACCTGCTGTTGCTTCACCCTTGTTATGCATGACGACGGTCGGGGCTTTGTTCGGGTCGTAGTCGGCCTGCATGAGCAACGACGAGTCTCGAAGGAAGATATCGTCTGGGCGGCCGTGGCTCGTATAGCATCGTGGCGGCGGTGCCTGGTTCTGTTGTTCATCTCGTCGCCTGCAAAACGAGCAGCGTTTAGCGTCAAGCACGGCGGTGCCGGTGCATTGTACCTCAACTCGATCGCCGGAATGTGTTCTTCAGTCTTGTGGTCCTCGTCGTACTCAACATCGTAGGTGTCATCGCCATGGTCGACAAGGATACGTGCAGGAAACCACAGCCCGTCGATGTCTCGATCGACCTCCATGTTCACGCAGAACGACTCGCCGTGCTCCCCGCGCTTGCCGTCGTCGGCCTCGCCGGCCTTCGCGCCGCCGCTCTCCTTCATTGCAGCAACCGTTGAGGATAAATGCAGAGCCAATAGGATGATGCCACTATGAAAACTGCCACAATTAATATTCATGTCACTTGGACCGATCCATGAAAGGAACCGCTTCAAGCCCTCCAGGAACGACAGCAATGTTACGCTGCATCTGGTGCATGAAATCGACGAGTTTATGAGGAACCAGTGCGCGGTGTCATGGCGTCCGTAAAGCCGCGAGAAACGTGGGTCGACGGTAATCATCTGGCGCTTGGAGAGGAAAAAGATTCATTTATAGAGGTATTTTGTTTCAAACCGTGGCGCTGCTGTCATCGCTGCCGCCGTCGCTGCAGTTGAATGATCTCGCTGTTCTGGGGCCTGTGGCAATACCTCTTCTCGAAGGCAGAGGTCCATCTCTTGATTATCGGCTTGGACTATGCCGGCAAGACAGTACGCTCGTGAATGAGTACAGGACGGTGTGACCTTGACGGAATAGACACTTCTCGAACAGCTCAAGACCATGTTCGGCAAGAAGGCTGGTATTCCACTCGACAAAATACCACCCACCGTCGGCCTCAACAGTGTGTAGTTGACCCTTTCGCCACAATTGTCTCTTACATCGGCTTGTGCAGTCGCCAAGGTCGATATCTCACGAACGAACGTCATCTTCTGGGACTTGGGGGGACAGGTACCTGGCATTCGTCCCGAACTCACACTTCTCCAACGATGTCCTCAGGAACGACTACGCGCGATATGGAGCAAGTACTACAACGAAAGCCATGGCGTCGTCTTTGTCGTGGACTCGTCGGATACCGCCCGATTTGACGAAGCCAAGGCCGCCCTCGGTAGTATTTCCATCTCTCTTGGTCATTTTCACACGCACCATGACGTCTAGCATCTATGCTTGCGCACCCAGAACTGTCGGACGTACCAGTGCTCGTACTTGCGAACAAGAGCGACTTGGATGCATCCATGGGGACTGCCGAACTCACAGCACGGTTGGAACTGAACCGTCTTGCGGAAGCGCATCCATGGACCCTTCGGCCCATCTCAGCCCTCACCACGTACGTTCTCACGCTTCCTTCGCTGCGCTCATGTCCATCTAGAGACGGCATTGCCGACGCCGTCACGTGGTTCGTCTCGGCAGTCAAGCAAACGGGCCGCTTTCATACCAAGCAGAGTTCCCTTTCGACTCATGTATCATAATGCATAGTGCCATCCGTTTTCTCTAACTCGTCTCTCGTATGGCCATTACTCGTTCGCGATATGGATTTCTTTCCACGGGTGCAAAGTCACTTGGTCGTACCGTTTCCGTTGTCGTTACAATGTGCACTAACATACGGCATAGTGACATCCGTTTTCTCTAACTCGTCTCTCGTATGGCTATTACTCGTTCGCGATATGGATTTCTTTCCACGGGTGCAACGTCACTTGGTCGTACACGTTGCCGTTGTCGTTGCGGACAAACGCAATGTGCAGCGCGTCGCTCGATGCCTCGGCTCGCAAATACCCCCATGCATTCGCGTGCGCGACGCTCCACGACCCCAACGCTGGTGAAAACGGCGTCGTTTCGAGCTCGGCACCCGCAGCTCCTGCGACAATGTGCACCGTGCCCTCGCGGACGCACGTTCCATTCCACACGGGGCAGCTGCGCTCGTACGAGTGCTGGTGACCGACCTATGTCATGGCCGACCCGTTCGCGCATTACTCCGACACGATATGTAAAAACAAAGCGGGGATTTGCGCCATACCAAAACCAGGTTCACGCGGTACTGGCGCAGCAATGGCTCGATGGCTGCTCGGAAATGGAGCGACACGTTGTAGTCGGCATCTTCGTGGGACTGAGTCGTGTACTAGATGCGCATCCGTCAGCCGCAATGCTGTTGCTCAGCAACGACGGACCATCATGCGATGGGCGGTCAGCACCACCCACGGCAACAAGCTGCGGTCGACACTGGCCAGGTTGGCCTCGAGCCATGCATGTTGCACCGATCCAGGCATAAAGTCGTGCTCGGACGAGATTTGGACCACATGGATGGGACCATAGTCGAACGAGTACCAAAAGAGGCCATTGCCGTTGGCAGGACCTGTGAATCGGTGAACGGTCGGCACGCCGCATTCGCCGAGCGAGTCGACCCCGTAGTTGCCCCACGATGGGTGAAAGCCGTTGGGGGTCGCAGGGTGGGATGGGTCCCGGCTCCCGTCGCCCCCAATGTAGTCGTACTCGTCTACGACGCCCATGACCGCAAAATTCCACCCGACTTGCGCCACTTACGATTGCCCATGCTCACCATGTACGGTCTAGAGCAAAATTCTCAACAAGACGAGGATGAAAACACGAACGCAGGCCTCACATGCGGGTGGCAACGTCTTGGATCAGGTAAAAGTACTTGTCCCATTGGAGTCCGCGCCCGCGGGCATAGCTACCCACCACACGGATAACGTCATGCCGATGACGTTAGCCATACCTACGATACGACGCGGACGTTAGCTGAAGGCGCATCGCTTTTTTTGCAGGGCAATACTGAACCTGATGTCGCCAAAATGCAAGAGGAAGCCATTGTAGCCGCGGAGAATATCCTGGGATACATGGAGCGCCGTGGACACAGCGGCGGGGGAATTGTCGACGCCCATGTCGCCGTACGCAATCCATTTCACAGTGGCGCTGCAGAGGAGGGTGGTGTAACCCTGGCAGGATCAGGCTTGCCACGTACTTGGTGGCGGACAGAGGCCGCGAGCGAAAGGTGTAAATCTCACTCCATCCGTCCATGTCGTTTCCAAACTGGTACGCATACATGCAATCTGGAAACAAGCCGTCGATGACGACCGTGTGCATGTACCCCGGGTGGCGAAACCACTGCTGGCCGACAATCGTGGCTGGTTGGTGGCACCTAAGCAAAGGTCAGGAGCCCCACGCGGTGGCACGACGTCGTCATCACGGGGGGTAGTGGGTTTAGTACATGTCGGATGCAGTGTATGTGGACGATGTGCCATAATGCACGGTCACTGGGGCGGCCACCGAATCGAACGGTGGGTCGGCGACGCGAGTTGCTCGGACGGATGGAGTCGTTCGGTTGGATGCGGTGTTGTACATGAGCACCATTTGATCGACTCGATCGTTGAGCGCGAGGTGGCCGTGTTGCGGAGAGTCGATGGACATGCGCATGGGCACGATCACTTGCCCAAGCAGGACAAACGCGTCGCGGCGATAGTGAAAGTACGACGCCACGTACACGCATCGAAGCATGTGGAGGTCGGCAAAACGCACGGAATGGCTGGACGATGCCGTGACATTGATGCGCTCGATGTAGTCGTCGTTGTCGACGGTGGGACCACACGACAACGTAACGTAGTCGGCGGCATGCGTGTCTACGTTCGTCCACGACACCACGAGATCTTCGCCCAAGCCAAGGGCCTCAGGCGACGCAAACATTTCAAAGCAGAGGGATGGCACGCCATGCCGCCAAGGAACTTCGCGACCATGCACGATTCCGATCAATGCCGCGAGAACGACGAACCCTCCTCGCATGCTCACGAGGCTGCCACGGTTGTTCAAGTGTCCAAGAAAGAAGATCGAATTGTTTTGATTGGCTAAAATATTTTCTATTCACATGATTGGGACCAATCAGCGACTGTAGAAGGAGTGTAGGTCTTTCCGACACCGTCATCTTCATTGTGCGGAGGTTGCAAACAGGACGAGGATGAGTCATCTTCGCTGATGAAGTCACGAGAGGAACGGCTCATCTCGCGCGGACTGAACGATCTCTCGAACCTTGTGTGCTTTGGAGCTCGCGCGCCTTGGTGGCATCGGGGAATACGTACATCGAATGTCGCCCAGGGGTTCGATGCTGCTACAAAGCGCTACTTGAAGACGGAGGACGGAGTGGCCACATCCAACCTCTTGCGGCGCTGCTGAGCTGCTACCATCTCCTCTGCCTTGGATATTCGTTCTTGTACATCGTCGTGTTTGTCCTGCGATGTCGTGAGTCCTTCGGTTGTATGGTGCCACGTACAACCTTTTCGAGACACACTTGCTCGAGCTTCCGACGAAACTCTTGTAGGTCTTTAAGCGGCGGCACGACGACTTGTACCTTCTTTGTGTCTTCTTCGATCAGATCTTGCTCCATGTCCAAGCATCCCTGATTGCCACTGATTCAGCCTCGAATGTACCTCCATACACCGACCTGGATAAACTCGATGTCGTCCAGGAGCTGCTGCTTCTCCTCGAGCAGTGCATCTCGCAATCGCGCTTTCACCGAGTCGATGTGTCGAATGCTCACACATCCCTACGCCACGATCAGCGATGCAACTAGTTCGTTGTAAGCTTGCCAGATCTTCCAAGACAGCGGGGGCCGATGCTGTCGACGAGATCGAGCCCCGGGAGGATAGTCCTCTGGACGATGGCGGCCTCGACGCTGTGCTGGGCCGGCGACCTCCATCAGCCGTGCCTGGTCGCAACAGCACTCCGTTTCCATTTAACGAGCCATGGCTCGGGTGATCTCTCAAGCGAGGCGTCATGGGAATACCGCCATTGTTTTGAACATCGGAGTCAAGCGAAGTTGTCGACAAAACGTAGCCGAGGAGTGCGCGGTCTTGAGGAGTCGCTAGCTGTCGCTCGTGAAGGTTGGACGCGAGGAGTTTGAGTTGGTCAAGCAGAATCGCTCGACCGGGGGGCTCAGGCATGGCAGGCCGATTTCGAATCGCGTCCTGAAGCAGAACATTTTGGACAGGTTCTTATGGTGGTGACGTACCCGGATGCGGTCGTTCTCCTTTTGGTAGTCGTCTAGGATATCCACAAATGCCTGTAGCTCGGCGTGTAGTGCCTAGAGTCCGAATCAGGTCGTGCGAATGAGGTGGCATGCTGGCGAACCTCATTGTCGTCGATCAAAAGATGACCAAGCACTTGCCGCAGCTCGTGAATCTCAGCCTGGTTCACTCGTCGCCGCAGGTCTTCCCACAGCAGCGGGCGCATATAAAACACCACTGGCGTGTGCATGGCGGTCCGTGTGCGTCGTCGGCGCTATTTCCAGTGCGTCAGCGTCGCGACAGTTTCAATGTGACGACAGTTACATGTTCAAAATACACAGCTAAGTTGAACGAAACAGTTATGATGACGCGTGTTGTTGAGAGTCGCCCGGCACGAGCGGCGTCGATGGGTCGGCTTTGCACTTCTTTCGTGCAAGCGGCGATGAGATGGATGGCGACGGAGTGGCCGTCGAGTTTGGAGCGTTGCCGTCTTTTTCACGATCCCCTCGGTGTAGTTTGTGGCGGCCGCCAAAGAGTGGCTTCATATACGTGTTGTCAAACGCATGCCACATCTGGTACGCTGTGACGCGGATGTTCGCGCACGATCGCGACCCGTCCGGCGAGGTCTCGTCCAGCGAGCTCATCCGTCGTCCGACGGGGGTCACGTTTCGGTCTGGAACGCCATGAGATGGCGACGTTGCGCGATCTCCTTCCGAGGGTTGGAATGACGTACACGATGACACAGGGACTGGAAGGACAAATGCGGAAGGCGGGGCGTCCAGGAGACCGCACAACCCAAGCAGCGGCCCTGTCAGCCCTCCCACAATCCACGTCGTTCCAATCACGAGAAAGAGGGTCGTGGTCACCATGAGTTGCTTGACGCTGCCCACGCTGTCGTTGCCTTCTCGCACGTACGACCAGTCGGTGACGAGGGCGACGGCGACGGCGCCGCGCAGGCCCGTCAGCCACATGACGACCATCATCGGGAACGTCAGTGTGTCCTGGTTACACCGGAGGTAATTCGTCAACGAAACGAGCGGAAAAACATTCAAGGCGCGCCCGGCAAACAAGCTCAGCGTGGTCCACCCGACAAAGGACCAACTCACGACGATTTCGGTCGAGTTGCTCGGTGCACCGTAATGGGACAGCGACCTCGTTTCGTTGGTGGCATTGCTGCACAGCACGAGGGCTGTTGCAACGCCGACAAAAACGTACACGAGGGTCTCGCATACAAAGGACGCGGTCTGGAGGGTGTGGTGCACGGCGAGTTGCGACTCGGGCGACATGACGTGGTAGTGGTAGTGGCCGGTCAGGATGCCGCTGAAGAACAACGCGACGATGCCGGAGAACTCACAGCATTCGGCGGCAAAATATGTGCTCAGGCTCACGCATATGCAGAGAAGGATCTCGTACGCAGGGTAGGCGCGCAAGGCGGGAAATTGGACGAAAATGGACGACCCGACGAGCGTGAGCAGCATGGAGACGCAGATCGACCCAACGAGAATCCCAAATGTCTGGCACACCACGAGCACCAGTACCGACACTGTCATCCCAGCGTCTGCCCACGACGTGAGAGCTTTGTAAAGTGCAATGGCCACGGCATCGTTCAAAACGCTTTCGCCAAATACAACGTTGAACAGGACGGGCGGAACGTTCAGTTTCTGAAACACCCCGAGGGTCGCAACCGGGTCGACTGCGCTGAGGAGCGCCCCAAACAGAAAGGCCTCGATCCAGTCGATGTTTGGAATCCATCCGCACAAGCCTATGGCAAAGAGATGACAGTGAGGCATCGCCACTTTTGAAATGGGGACAGACGCACTGGCGAGGTAGAGCATGAGCCCAGTCACGCACGCCGATATCAACGTGCCCCAGATCGCAGTGGCCAAGACGGCACCAAAGTTGCGGAAAAACGTAGTTCGTTCGACCGAGAACCCTGCCTCATAAATGATGGGTGGAAGCAGCACGTCGAAGAAGATCGAGTGATGCAGCTGCAACGGCGCTGTCGCTTCCGTGTTTTGCGACGCAAGTAGGAGGCCGACAACGCCCCCAACCAGCAACGCGAGCCCGCTCTTGGACAAGAGCGTGCATCGGTACGTATCCAAGCCCAACGACACCAGCACGAGAAGGACCAAGAGGCCCAGAAGCACCAGGCTGCTGTCCATGACGCCTCAACAATTGGCACCGGACGGACATAACAGCATCCAAGTGTCGTGGTCAAAATCCTATACAATTTCTACATACAAACGTGCATTGTTTTTCTACGAGTGGACCTTCCTAGCGAAAGGTCGTTGTCCGGATATATCCGGCAAACCCGAGCTTCTCGTTCTTATTTTCAGGAAGCGGGCGGCATGGAAGCGGACTCAGCGCCAGGTGCGTGGGGCTGTCGGAACAAAGCAGCGAGTACGAGCATTGATATGGATGATGGGGGTGTATCGGTGTAGCACCAAACCAAGGGCCAACGCACCGCGTGAAGCGCCATAAATCCAAGCGACTGTCCAAGCCCAAGTCGACCATTTCCATGTCGACAGATGACGACACGGTTCGCGCGGCAGAAGTCACTGGGGCGGCAGACAGCGACGATGAGTTTCAAGAGTTCTTTGACGCAGGTTCGTTTGTTTACCCATCGATCGTCCTCACGATGTGTCGCATCAGATCTCTCCAAGTCGGTCGAGCGCTGTACGTTTTTCCGATCATTCCAATCGTGATTCGCGTTCACGTGGACGTCTAGACTTGGGAAGTGACGACGGGTCGTACTTTGACGCTATTCACGTCGACACGGAGCAAGTGGAGAGTAGCGACGACGACGTGGAACGCAATGCCACCGACGCGACAGCAGGCGCCGTGTTGACGGACCGACCAAACGATCATGCTACGGCAGATGGACCGCCTGGTCGGGGTGACTGTGAATTGCCGGACGATGGCCTTGACGAGAATCTGCCGCTGTCTGCTCGTGCTGCGGACAATGGGAATTTCGACGACGACTTGATGGATGCGCTTGCTGCGGCGCCAGCGGAACAACCATCGGATGCGGCCAGTCTAGACAATGCACGTTCATTGCGCGTACCAGACGACCATGACGCTTTGCTGGACGACGATCCAGACATACTGAATGCCCCCGTAGACACCACGTTTGGAGTTCGCGACGTCTTCCACGATAGTGACGCAGGGAGCAAAGACGCCAGCGCTGCACCTGCTTCTGAAGCTGTCGCTGGTATAGATCAACAAGCGAACAGTGCGGTTCCGGACAGCTTCTTGAGTTCTAGTGAAGACTTTGTCGAGGTCGAATCGATTCCCGAGTCAGTGAGAGACGACGGCTCGTTCACGTGCGTAAGCAGAGAAGAAGTCGTGGGCGGCGATTCAAAACAAGACCTGCCATCGCCCGACGACGGCGGAGGGGCCACTTCATCTGATGCCGCAACCAGTCCTCTTGTTGAAACGATGGTGGAGAGTGTGTCAAATACCACCGAGAAAGAGGCAAGTGAGGTCGATGGAACCGAGCATGGCGACGACACCGCTGTCCAGTTGAACGATGCCACACATGTTGTCGAGAAAGCAATGGACGAGATGCCGCCATCCACCGACATGACCACCCGGGAGACAAACTCGAATGAAGCAGAATTGAATGTCGCGCCACCCCCGAGCGAAGATGGGACTGCTTTTGCCGACGCCACCAGTGAAGTCCAAAATGTCGGCACGGCTGCCCTAGCTACTGACATGCTATCTGCACCACCAGCGGGCGACGGCGCTGCCGACCTTTCAGCCCGACGAGATGATGCGTTCGACGGTGACGGCAGTGACACTGGATCATCCATTGGACTGGACGAACCACCGGCGACTTCTTCCGCCGATGGCATCGCCGCCAGATTGAACCAACAAAGTGACACAGAAGCGAAGGCGGTTGCCGACGTGGCTGACCCAAGTGCCGACATGCTGTTCGCGCTGGACGAGCCACCAGTGCTTCCTCCATCGGATGCATGCACGTGCCTCCCCCCTGCCCCCCTCAGTGCCATCGAGCGCGACATTCCTGTGGAGCACGATGTCATCCCGCAGTCTTCGCCGGACAAGTCAAACGCCGACGGCACTGTCGTCGTGGATGATGGATCTCTCTTCAGCCCACCACTGGACGCGGATGTCCATCCATTTCCAACCCAAACCAGCGTCCGAAAGGCTTCAACAAATCCATTTGACCCGCCAGGAATGTTTGCCGACGAGCTGCCACTTGCGCCATGTCCAGGGGAAGCGGCCACGGCCCTCGAAACGCGACAGACGTGTACGTCCATGCGTCGACTCGCATCCTCCAGTTCCAACAACGATGTAGCCCCAGCACAAAGCACGGCGCCCCCGATGCGCCAAGGGCAGGATGGCGCTTCCGCAGACGACGGGGGCCCTGCGACGACAACCCCAGGTCTCGTTGGATATGCAGCGGCCGAAAGTCCTGACCCGTTGCTTGTAGTGGTTTTCAACCCGTCCGATGTGCACGACGACGACAGCGAGTCGGACGAGGTGACGCCTTGCCATCTCGTTGAAAAAACGTGTTTCCGATGGAAATGGGTAGGACGTCGCGATGCCAGCTCCGCTCGGTCTTGGAAAGAGCGGACGTGCCGCCGACTTGAGCGATGAGGACGACCTGGAAGTGAATGCAGAATTGGCGCAGACTATTCGAGCCCCGTCGTCCGCTGTGGTCGGGATGGTGGCCAAGAGCAATCCCCTCGCGGACGCAATGAGCTTGGCGATTGCTTCGACAACGCAAGCATCATCCATGGATAGGTTTCACAGTCCGGCGGCATCGCGTGGCGAATCGCCGACGCAACAGGATTCCGGGGCGGACCACTCGTCGTTTGGGATTGCGTACCAAAAGATGCCGCGGAAACCCACGTCGACTTCCTACACGATCGGCGACACGACCGACATGGTCCTGTCCGTGCATTCAGCAAAAGACACGGCGCACTCGGACGAGTTTGACGACGTTGATTTCGATGCCGTGCCGGCAGGCGCTCCAGTGGTCGAGCTGGACAAGCTGCACAAGTCGCGACTCGCCAAAGACGCTGAGAGGGAAGCCGCGGTGCTGGCTCAGCTCCAAGAAGCCACCAAGCAGGAACGTCTCGCTCTTCTTCGTGAGCAGCATGCTGCCACGGTCGGGGGGGACGCCATGGCGGTCGTTGCACCTGCCGCCGGGGACAAGGCCGCATTGGCAGAGGTAACTCGACGTTTGGGCCTAGGATTCCATGGCGGGGTTGACGCGGTCGACGTTAGCTCCACGACATGTACAAGCGGGGACTGGGTGACCAAGAAGTCGCGGCGCTGGAAGCGTCCACGGGCTCTGTGGATGCCTCGACGCTTGTCCCGACGAATGTCCATGCGCCGATCACGCAAACGATTGCCGAGGAAGATGACGAAGACGATGACGATGGAGGCAACGGAACGGCGCACGCTGAACGGAACAAACCCACAGGAGAGGCGGTGTCAGCGGATTCGGAAGCCGCGGCGGCATGGGAGACTGTCGAAAAGTTCCAGCATGAAAAAGCCGCGCGAACAAAGAATGGCAAGAGCGAGTCGTTTCGGTGGATTCGCTTCCAGGAAGCGCAGGTGCATTTCCGAGAAGCAGACTACGTCCGCGCGCATCAAGATGCGATTGTCGTGGAGGACGAGCACGCCGCCTCGACGGGGTGCCTCGCGTGCGTGTTTCGCCCAGCCGCGCTGCAATTCCCGTCGGCTTTGCAGCAGCGCGAGCTCGTACGTGTTGTCCATCCTGCGGTCCCAATCGTGACGGCGGTGGTTGGTGTAGGTTTTTTGCATGGCGATGTGCCAGCTCGACCACAACGAGCCCGTGCATTATCGCATCCTGCAAACCATCTACCAAAAGGTGCCATCGCGCTCGCATCCTTCCTTCGTGACGACTCGATGGCAGGTGACCAACACGCGGGGCGAGTGTCCATTGAGCGGCGGCCACTGGGAAATCATTGGGTTTCAAGGAAACGATCCTGCCACGGACCTCCGCGGTGGCGGGATGCTGAGCCTCGTGCAGCTGCTCTATCTCGTCGACACACATCCCGACGTGGTTGGCGAGTTGTTTGCCGCGTCGCGCCATGAGCAGTACCATTTCCCGCTCGCGTGCGTCATGATCAACTTCACGGTGCACATCCTGAGCACGCTGCGCCAAGGCCGGCTCACCACTCTGTGCAACAAGGAGAAGGACGTAATGACTGCGATGAACAAGGTATTGGCGGACGGCTCCTTTCGTGATTACATGGGTCGTGGGTAGCTGTATGCTGCGATGGGCGTACGCCTCGTCGCCGAGTGCAAGGCGAAGCAAGGGGTGGTCGAGTTTCCCGCGATCCTCAAGGACGTCGTCCATGAAGCGCAGAGCATGCCAATGCGCGTCGTGGCAGAAGCCGAGTCGGTGCTCGCGTTGTCGCGCGGCCGCGACATTGGCGACGTGGCCGACCAAGATTTCACCGATCTCCGTGACAAATAGTCTCCCAGACAGCGTTCATGGATGCATGTCAAGTGTAATCGCGACGGTCGAGTTGGTCGCCAAGGTGGCGCAGTCGCTCCTCACGTAGTGATGCCGCCACGATGGAGTCCCCCGAGCGTCGTTCGCACACCGTCGCCAACTCCCTGGCACGACAAGCGCCGTCTAGAAAGCTGTGCACGGTTGAGCATGGTGCGAGATAGAATCGAGGTCGATGGGAATGTGACAGGAATCGTGCGACTCGTACGAAGTCGGTGGACGTCAGGCGGCCCGAAAGACGTGGGCCCGACGAATCGGGCGGCCGCCCCTTGCACAACCAGGGAATGCTGTGGAATATGTTGGAATCGTGGCGACCGATCGACTGGACGATGCGTGCGCTCCGCGACACGCATCCACGTCGACTCGATCGATTGTCGTGGGAAAGATGCGTGTGGTATCATCGAAGTAAAGAGCGACACAAACATATCTAGTCGTACTGCATAGACCACGAGCACTCGTCCGTCTACACGATGAATTGTCGCTGGGCAGCGGCATTGAGCTTCTCGAAGACGCTAGCTCGCATGGATTGGTACAAGTCCAGCGCGGACTGCAACGCCGGCGCGTCGTCGGCATGCGCGGTATCAAGTTGTGCCCGCAACTGTTGGATGGTATCTTGAATGCTCAGGAATTTCTTGGTCAGTTCTTCCACAGGAAGGAATGCGATTGCAAGCTGCGTGGGTTTCGCGGCGTCCGTCGCGCTCTTCGGTCGTTTCTGCTGCTTGGGCACGTCGATGTTGGCGCAGATTGCTTGATGCTGGTACAGCGACGTCGTGGCTGCCGCGACATCTTTCCCGCACATCTTGCAGTTGACCACGAGCGTCTTCCGGCCTTCGACTTTGTACTTTTCCCCAAAATCTTCCCAGATTTCCTTCCGTTTCCGCACCACAGGCGTTGCGTCGGTAGCTACGCGTGGCAACTGCATGTCGCCCTCCGCTTGGGGCAAAGCGACATGAGCTAACTCACCATCGTCCACTTCTAATGGCGTTGTTGCTGCTGTGGCCACGGTGTCAGCTGTCGACGGCGAAACATTGAGATTAGACGCCAACGACGACGACCGCGGCGGCTTTTTGCCGCACACGTTGTTCTTGTGCTGGTACAGAGATGTCGTGGAGGCGCATATTTCATCGTCACATGTCTTGCATCGCACGAGCGGCGTCCGTCGATGCGGCGCGCGGTACTTCTCCGTGAACTCTTGCCAAATGGGCAACTCCGCTCGACCCATTCGTGTCGGGATTTCAAATGGAAGAAGCTCTTACTTAATTAAACGAATGGTTAACAAACAATATAATTCATGGGAGGGACTGAGAAAATTTAATTCGTCCAGCTTGCAATTTGTAAGAAGAATTAACATTTCACCTTGCAAATGTTTTTTAAAATCGATCCCGTTTGAAAAGAACATCGTGGCAGGACCACGCCGCCGCCCCGTGCCCACGTCCAGGACATGTCCGCGCGCAGCATGGCACAGGATAGGGTTCTCCGCAGTAAACAAGACATCGTGCGTGTCCTTTAGTCACCTGTCCGACGGTGCAGGTTGTCACAGTGGCTCCGTGCGTCGGGCATCGAACCGAGCTGTGCCTCCGCCAACGCTCCAGCGCAAACACGCGGCATCGACCCCCACGCTCCACCAGTCGCCGGTTGCGCTAGTTCATTTGAACGTTTCTAATGCGGGCGACGCACTGCCGGTCCTGCTTGCACCCACCACTCTATGACTTACGTCTGTCGTTCGCATTGTCATTGCGGCAACGCCCGAACCGTCGTCGCGACAGTTCACCGTGTTGATCTAGCGTATATTGGTGCAGTAGTTGTACACGTGTTTGAGCTTGGTTCCTATTACAACTTGCGGTACTTGGCCAAGTTTGTGATTTCCACGACCGAGTGGCCCGTCTTGAGGGCGATCTCTTCGGCAGTCTCATGCTTGCTCAGCGCATCAAACGTAGCCTTGATCACGGTGTACGGGTTGCGCTGGCCGCGGCACTTGGACACGACGTCCGTAATGCCAAAGCAGTAGAGCGCGCACCCGACCGTGTCGCTGACGGTGGTTCCTTGTCCAACCTTGGCTACACAGCCGCGACCGATCACGATGCGGTCGAGAGAAAGAGGCAAAAGTACGTACAAGGGCGGATGAAGAGCTCGCAACTGTTGAATTTCCCGTTGACTTCGTGGTACAGCGTTCGGTCGTCGAAGCGATCGACGTAAGTGAAGTTTTCGATGGCGCGAAGGGTGGCGCGATCGATCGCTTGGTCAATCTTACTACCGCGGCCGACGGCGTACCCTGCGCAACCGTCTTGGTTCCCGACCACAACGAGCGCCCGGAATGTCAAGATGTTGCCCAGCGTCGTCGGCTACAACACGCCACTTGAGGAGCAGCACGAAAGCATCCAGTACCTTTTGAACCGTGTCCACAAATACGACTTGGCTGACAAGCCCCATCGCATCCAGATCCAAGTAGTTCTCGTCGTCAAAGTTCCAGCCTTCTACAGCGTTTGCTTCCTCATCCAACTTGTCCTTCTCTTTCAACAAACCCATATCAGGACGGAGACCTATATGCGCCGTCGTCGTCCATGAGGTTGATGATGTCGTCGGCAAGTCTGGTCATACCGTCATCGTACACAAACTGGGGATCGTCGAAACTCATCCCACGGGATCCATACTCGTCCAGCAATCGACGACGCGCTTCCGCCATGTTCTTGGGGGCAATCGCCTGGTATCTGTGTTTGCGGGCGGCGGCAGGTGCCAGTTGACGGAATTCGTGGCCTTCATCCTTGTACTTGCCGTAGAGTGGAGCTGGATCGGTCGGTTCGTCTTCGTCGTACTCGGCGAGGTCGTTCATGCGCTTCGATTTTGGCGCTTCAAACCCTTCAACGTCGTTGTCGTCGGTGTCCTCGTCCTTGCCTTTGCGAACAGCGCCATCGTCGTCGTCGTCGTGTGCGGAGCCCGCAAGTTTCTTGGCACTGAAGAGACGCGCAGCGACCGGGACCTGTTGGCGCGCTTTCAATTGCGCTCCCACGGAGCGAGCGACGCGACTCAGCATGATCACCAGAACGTCCGAAGTGCTTGGAAAATGACTGGTCTTGAATTCAATGCAAAGATTTTAGCCAATCAGATGCACGTCTGGTGGTTGCTTTCCAACGTATTGATTGGTGCATTCGAAATTCCCCAAAATGAGCGTGTCCAAAGCCGCCGCCGCCGTCGTCCTGGATCGGTCCGCGTTCTTGCAGACTCTACAGGTCATGGGCGTCGCCGCCGAAGGCAAACAGATCGGGCACATCATCAAGACCTTCTCACAGCATTTGCTCAATCGTCCCAAGCTTCGCAACGTTGTCCCGAACCCACAAACGGAAGTGTCGTCCAAGTTGGTGCTCCTCAATGAAAAGTTCCAAGGCGACGAGCTCACAGGATGCCCACAAGAACTCCACGACTACATCCGCAACGAGAAGCTTCGCGTAATGTCTTGTCCATCGCGCATGTCCCAATGTCCATTCTTTGTAGGTCCAGCCGCACGAGATCTCGTTGGACTACTCGTTCTGGTCCGTGGAGCACGTCCTCCGCCGCCTGTTGCCTGAATCGATCACAGAGATTCCCGCCTCCTTCGAAACGATCGGCCACATTGCGCATCTCAACCTGCGCGACTTTCATCTTCCGTACAAACACGTTATCGGCCAAGTGATCTTGGACAAGAACACGCCGCGCATCAAGACGGTCGTAAACAAAACGGACGTGATCGACAGCGTGTTCCGCACGTTCCCCATGGAAGTGTTGGCGGGCGAAGACAACATGGAGGTGGTGCTCCACGAAAGCGACTGCAACTTCCACTTTAACTTTGCGCAAGTGTACTGGAACTCGCGTCTGCAGCAGGAACACTTGCGTCTTGTGCGGTCGCTCCAGCCGACGGACGTGGTGTGTGACATGATGTGCGGCATCGGGCCATTCGCGATCCCGCTCGGGAAACGGGGGTGCGTCGTTTACGCTAACGACTTGAACCCCAAGAGCTTCGAGTACCTGAACGTGAATCGAAAGAAGAACAAGGTCGAAGGGAAAGTGCACAGTTTCAACATGGACGGCCGCGCCTTCCTTGCGCACTTGCTGTCGTCCAAGATCCAATTTACTCAAGTCATCATGAACTTGCCTGCGATCGCGCTCGAGTTCCTGGATGCATTTCCCGGTCAATTTGATGAGTGGGAAGGAGAGTTACCGACGATCCACACATACTGTTTCACGACCAACATGGACGCACCGGAGAAAGACGTGCAAGAGGTACGACACGATGAAAACGATCGATCGATTGTTGACAGACGAGGATTTGTAGCGCACGGAGACCATCCTTGGTGCCAAGCTTGAGGAGTTTAGCGTGCATCACGTCCGCGACGTCGCGCCGAAGAAGCTCATGATGTGCATATCGTTCAAACTGCCTGCTGCCGCCGCATATTCCGCCGACAAGTTGAACGCCTTGCACGCGAAGAAAGCGCGAGTGGCGGAATAAACGTTAAATAGAGTTGCATCGAAAATAGTGTTACATCCAAAAGGGGGTACGGAGTGGCAAAACGGGTGTCCAGAGACTGGAGAACGAGAGCAACGGTGACAAAAGAGGGGGTCGTTTCCATTACCCGAATGACCGAGCCAAGATGAAGCAGTCGGGAGGGCTGATGTTCCTGTAGTAGTTGTAGATGGTCTGCGTGACGTGGAATCCATGGCGCTCGTAGAACCGAATGGCAGCCGCATTGCTCGTCTGGACGTGAAGGTAAATGTGGTCCATCTTCATGCGTTCGCAGTGTGCCAGGACGCTTTCGAGGAGCGCGCCACCTGCATGAAGTCGCCATGAGATCGTGAACATCTCCGTGCTGTGCAACTCACCGAGGCTGTGCTTGCGATACGGCTCCAACACACCCAGCGTCATGATGTAGACTCGTTCGAACCCGTCTGGCATAGTCTCAACGCGACAACAAATGGAGCTCACAATCATGCCGTTGACACAGCCTGCAAAACCTGGGGAAGCACGGATGTCGACGATTGGAGAAAGTCGTACCATACTTGGACAACTCGCGCGGTGTTGACACAATGTCCGTGTAGAACGCATCGTTGTAGCGCACTGGGAAGATGACTTGATTGAGGACCCGCAGCACGCCGACGTTCTGTGCAGTGATGGGTCCGAACTCAACGGGCAGCGCATCGCGATCCCGACTGCCCATCGCCGCCGTCGCAACTTTGCACCACACTCTCGGTCCGGTATTTTTTGCGTATCCGGTGATGGCACATCCAAAAATATATTCATGAAAATGTGAAATATTTCCATGAAAAATTTAGCACAAATACGCACAAAACGCGATGAAAATTGGACCAATCACGTGCGATATGCAGAATGAAATTTACACAATCTTCGAAGCGGCATGGCGTCGCCGCCGTGCAAGGCTCGCGACGGTGCGCCAGGAACGACGAAACCTCAAAAGAAGCAATGGAATTCCTCCACAAAACTCCATGACAGAAAGATGCCTAAATTCCTTCCACCGTCGTCAGTATTGCGAAAGGAGGAGCTACCTGTCACAAACGACGAACCATCTTTCACAGAAGATGCACGGTTGCTTGTGGAAAAGGCTGTGGAAAGCGCAGTGCGACGAGAGAAAGGTGAATATGCCAATCCTGTCGGCGATTCCAGACATCACGGCCATATGCATGCGAAGACGACGCGATGGCCCTGCGACAGTGCAGCGGCAGAAGGCGGGACTCACGGCAATGCACCCACCAGCATTCTCGACGTCGACATCCATCTCGAACGCGTACGAGCTGAACAAAATCGACGCAAGACAGCTATCCAGGCATTTCATCGGCACTTGGAGCGACAGATTCAGCAGTTAAAGGACATGGCCGAGGCCGCAAAGGAGCGTGAAGCTGCCATGGATGCTGCGTTCGATGAGTACGTGCAATTGATTCGACTGCAGCACGCCAGCACACCGTAGTCACTCCTACGTGGCATTTCATATGGTCTATTGAGTCTAGTGCTACATTCAGGATGTGTTCGCGCTTGCCGTGAACCACACTATAGCCGCCGCCATGGCGCGTGGAATCTGGCGCAATGGAAACCAGCTGAATGTACAATACGGTCCTTATTCCGTTGGCAATCCACGGCGGTAAACTGCAGCCTTGCGCGGCACGTTGTTTCAGCGACGTGGCTCCATCCGTTCCCCTTCCACATCCCGTCCATGACGAAGTTTGGACTAGTAGGGTTACGGTCGCCAAGCTGGTTCGTGCATGGTCGGGGCGATAGTGGATTTATTCCACGAGGGGAATCGCCCCTTTCAAGTGGACGGGCAATGCGTCGCCTTGCCCGAGCATTTCGTCGGCGGCGATCGCGTAGATGCGCCACGTCTTGATGTCTAAAATGTACAAGGACCGTCCCAGCTCGAACGAGAGGACGCCCGTGAGGGTGGCCGACGCCTTGTCGAGGTAAAACACGCCTTGGTACTCCCAGTCCCTTTGGATCGTCCGCTCAAACTTGTGCTTGGCGGCCGAGTACAAGAAGGACGAGAGCCACGGCAGCGACGGCGGCGGCGTCGCATGCCGCCACCGCTCCATCACGTACGACGTGAAACAACCGCCTAGCGCGAGTCCAATCAAGCCGCAGAAGCGTGTAAAGTCGCCGATCGCAACGACGCCGCTGACACACTCGACTTCGAAATCCACCGACACGACGTGGCAGTCGCGGGAAACCGTGACCGAGTGCCGAGTCGGCGCCGCAAAACTCCAGATCGCGGCCGACACACACACGATCAACGCGCTCTGGGAGAAGCAGTCCGCCGTGTACTCTTTCGTCAGCACGGAGCACGTGTCATGGATGACGTTGATGAGCCATGCCATTTCGCCCGACGACAGCAGCGTCATGAACCAGGACCGGTCGGGCGAGTCGAAAAACGACACGAGGCCGAGGTGGGGCCGCACGAGGTTGAGTTTGGCGGTCGAGAGAAAGCAAATGGCAGTGAGGCCGCGGACAAGCATCAGCGGGCGGCCGATCCAGACGTGGCCCGCAACGAGGGAAAAGCTCGTCATGTTGATGCCTTCGACATACCCTCGATTGAACACAATGTACACACACACAACGCACCCGACGCCGCACAACACGACCGTGATGTACTGGATCAGCGCGAGAAAATACAGCGATACGTTCACGGGCACTTCTTGGGCGTCGACGGGCCGTTCAAAGTAGTGCTGGACGGTCGAGACGGTCGTGATCTGGTCCACGTCCCCTTGGAACGTCACGACTTCGCGCTTTCCTTCGACCCACTCGAACAAGTACAGCCACGAGTACACTTCAAAGTCGGCTTCCGCCGCGTCAAACAAATTCACTCGAGACAGCTTCAACGGGGACACGTCGTCTTGGCGGTAGTACTGGAGCAACTCGACCTCGATGGTGTCCCGGACAACGACCTTGGCTTGTTGTACGACGTCGCGGTACCTGGTCAATTCGTCGTCGGTGAAGAAGCGGGCTGCGAACGACGTTGTGTCGTTCAAGGCGTGGAGAATGCTCGTTTGGTGGGCGACGTCTCGACCGGCCAGCGCTGCCCACGTGGTGGCGTTTACTTGGGTTTGGCCCGCCGCGACGAGCGCCATCAGGAGGTTCTGACTGCACACCGACACGAAATCCGTGTAGTAGTTGGCACAAATGCCATTCGTGCTGAAAAACTGAAGCGGAATCGAGCTCCACCCGCCGTAGTTGAGCCCGCAGTTGATGTCGCCGGCCCACAGCTGCATGTTGTCCCATGCGTGGGGCTGCGGCGTCAAGAAGATGCGCACGTAAATGTCCCAAAACGCACGCTGCCACACGTCGCTGCCGCTGAGTTTGCCGAGAATGTCCTGGTGCAGCGTCTGGTACAACCGTTTGAGCTCGAGCGGGCGATGCACACGCTGCATGTCGACCGTGCCAAACGGCCCCATGGCCGCCGTGAAGAGCGCGTAGGCCGGATCGAGCGGCATCGCGACGATCGACGGCGTGTCGGCCATCGCCGACTGAATCGTGCCGTTCACGAATGCATACGTGGCGCTTCCACGCACCAGACTCTTCCCGCCCATGATCAAACTGTCGTTACCCATCACTGCGGTCAAGTCGTTGGCAAACGCCCAGTACATTTTGAACGCCGTCGCCGCCGACACGTGGAACGAGCTGTTGGATTTCTTTAGCGTCAGGGGGTACCGCAGCCCGAGGGCATTCGACACCACAAACGACTCGGTCACGCCCAGGTGTTTGTAGTTTTGCCACTGGGTTCGGAATCGAGTGATGCCACTCGCGTGCCACATTGCGACCTCGTTCGCGTCGGACCGTCGGTTCGTTTGAATCGAGTCGGCCCATGCCGACCCGTCGTTCGTCGCGCGGACACTTGAAAGCACGGCCGTGTCGAGCGCACCGCCCCAGCACCCCCGCAACGTTGCCCAGTTGGCATTCCCAAACACCGCTTCCCAGTACACGGCGCCGTTGGTCGTTTCGTGTCGGTGGCACCGCGCTTGGCGCGTCGTGGTGTGCGCCATCTCGTACTGTCGCCCGAGGTCGGCAAAGCAGTACGCCGTGGCTATCCACGGCAGCATGCAGCTGTCCATGGCGCGGAGGCCGCGGACGACTTCGGACAGCGTGTTGACGTCGTTTTGAATCGAGTTGCTGTACAAGACCGAGCTCAAGACGGTCGCTGTGGTCTGGTTTGTCGTTGTTGCGTAGTCGCCGTACCGACCCGAGTCGACGCGGGCATCGAACGTCGGATGCGCCATCTGGAGGTACAGGTTGAACCAGTTGGACAAGAACGCCTGGACGTTGGCTTCGTGAAACCCAACCCAGACGAAATCGTTGACGAGCGTGCTGCGCGAAACAGCCAAGAACAAGAAGCTCAGGACGACGGCGCCAACCATGTACACGAGCCCTAGACACCCCACGACGCGCATGCGGGTCGCGGACGTTGGCTTGGCAGGCGCGGTCGACTTTGGCCGATGCACCGGCCTGAGAGTAAACGTCGCAACAGGCAGCGAATACACGAACGGCTCGACCTGGTTGGCGTGAAACACCACCCAATTCTTGACGTCAAACAGGGACTTCCCGAGCGGTAGCATCCCGGACAGCACGCACGCGGCCACGTCCAGCGTCGACGTTCCGTTGCGTTGGCCGTACAGGAACTCGTCCGACGAGCTTGTGAGAACAATGTTGGGTGGCAGCTTGTGTTTGTGCCGGAGCTGCGGCGCTGCGGACATGGCGGCCCACGTCATGGCAAACGAACCGACGACGCAGCCTACGACCACAACGAGGTACAGTCCAGTGTACCGCATCGACCCAATGTGGACTTCGCCGCCATAGCACTGCAGCCCTCTCGTGAACGACAAGATGGTGCATTCCCGCGAGATGACTGCTTCCGCCTTGTACGGCATCGTCAAGTCCATGCCGGCTACGACCACAAACGTCAAGATGCTGCTCAGTCGAGAGTACGCGGTCGATGTCGAATGCGTGAGCGGCAGAAAGATGTCGTTGATCGCATAAGTAATCCACGTCACCTCCCCCGCCAAGACGAGCGTATGCCACACCGGCCGGGACGGGTCGCTCATGCGGGAATACCCATCGCGAACGGCAAATTCGACGTTGGATGTGCTCAACACGACCATCGCGGTCATGCCGCGAAGAAAGAGGAACGGGCGGCCGATCCAGGAACCTCCGACGAGCCGATTCGCGTGAAACAGGTTCCGCCCGTCCACGTGAAAGCCAACAAAGGCACTGTACGCAAGCACGAGCACGAGCACCAACACAATCACAAACGTCACATAGATGCACACCACCCACAAGTACGCGCAAGCGTGTTGCGGCAATTCGGCGGCGCTCGCAGCCATCTCGACGAACTTGTCTAGCCGCGTCATGAGCACGTATGTGTCGAGATCGCCTTCGAACGAGTACACCTCGCGCTGGCCGTTGGCCCATTCGAACATCGCCATCCAGCCAAAGAACGACCACGGATCTGCTTGGAGGGACGGCGCCACCATGGGCTGATGCAGCACTTGGTCGACTCCGTGGACGGTCGCCCACTGGACAAAGCTAATGTTGAGCGGTATAATGTCTCGAATGGCTCGAGTCAGCAGCGGAGATAGCGTGGAAACTGCGTTGGATGCAGCTGGAAGCAGCGCCGAGAGGACGCTATTGGCGGCCATGATGGTGCGCATGCACGCCATGATGGCGGTGGCACTGGTGATGAGGTCGCACACGGACGCGACGTCGTCTTGGGCCGCGATCGACGTGGCCAGCATCGCAAACAGGACAGAGTCTCGGGTCATGGCGATCTCGTGGCGATCCTGAGTGCCGCAGTCGTCGTAGTAACCAAATGACGGCTGGACGTACGGCATCGGGTTACCATAGCAGCACATGGGATTGCCTCCGTAGTACACGGCACCGGGGCTCTTCCACCGACGCGGCATCACTTCCAGGACGGGCTCTGGCAAGGCCAAGTACATTTGAGGGTTCTGCGCCAGCAGCGCCTTGTAGAGCGATGCCTTGAAAGCGTCAAAGAAGGCCAAGAGCGACGCGGGTCGGTCGATCATGAAGATGTCGATCACAGTCATGGGGCCGAGATGGGACCGAAGGATGGCGGTGGCCACCGTGCCGGCAGCCCCGCAGTAATACGCATCCCAATCGTGTCCCATCGCTTCGAACGCATTCGGAGCAGACCGGACAAGGCTCGACGCATACGCAGAACTTGCGTCCAGGTCGTTCCAGATGCCACCGAATGCGTACGCTGTGGTCCATGCCCCCTTCGGTCGACTCACGTACGGGATGCTCGAGACTGTGATGTTTTGCCGCATCCCGAGAGCGTTTACGATTGTCACGAACTCCTGGACCCCCTCTTGGTATAGATTTTGCAGCGTGTTTTTGAACGTCGCGATGCCAAATCGCTTCCACACAGCGACTTCGTCGTCGACGGGGACCCATGTGTGGTTGATGATGCTGGCGACCCACGTGGCCCCGTGCTCGGTCAACGCAGCACCGTCAAAGATCGTTGCGGCCACTTGCGGGTAATACGTCGACGACGTGAGGTCGGCCGCCAGGACGTTGCGGAAGACGGTCTCCATGTACACGGCGGCGTTTGCGACACGTCGTTCGTAGCAAATGACTTGATGGCGCGCCGTGTGGGCCACTTCGAGCGACCGATTCAAGTCGGCCCAACACGGCGGCGGCATCGTGCGCATGTTTTCGAAGAAATCCATGGACCGGATGATGCGAATCGCTTGGTCAAGGGGAAGATCCGCCAGCAGCAACGCCCGCGCGGTCGACCGACGCATGTCCAGTTTCGACGTCGTCGGGTATTCCTTGAACATGGCGCTGCTAGGCGCAAACAGATCGATCGGGCCATGGACACCAGCGGTCAGTTTCGAGTTGTAGAGGTCTCCCAAGAAAGTTTGGGTCCTGCTCACGTTGAATTGGCGCCACCAGTGGTCGTTCGAGATGTTGGGCGCTAGGATGGCCAAGAATAGCGCCGAGCATGCGGCAGTGAATAGCACGTAGAGATGACCCACGACTTGGATGGTCCTCTCCGTCTTGGTCTTTGGAAATGCGGGCTGGGTGGCCGACGCGACTTGGTATTTTCCCATCGACACAGTTGCAGAATGAGCACCATGAGGCCTTGAGATTGGTTTCGCATGCAACTGCCACCGTCGGGGCTATTCGTAAACGTTGGGTTGGGGAGGCCAGACGTTTCGGCAATTTGCTCGGAGGTTTTCCGATCAAATCCGACCAAGGAGTCGCTGGCGCATACATCCCTTCGTTCGAATCGGATTGCGTCACGACAAAGTCCGTTCTGGAGAGTACCAGAGTCGCGCGAATATCGACTTGTTTCGAAGATCGTAAAGCAATAGTTGTGCCAAGGCCAATCGACACTACTGGTGGGCAAACCATGTCGCTGGGTGGATTTGAATTACAGAGCCATCATCACGCTCCTGTTGCTGTCTTTCTCATTGCCCTGTGATCAACCCTGCTCGCATGGGGAAACGAAACGATAGCGACCTAGACTGCCATTCAGAGCAGTATAGGACGATTCCTACTGCCAAGCTATCGGAGGACGCAGCCACACGCCTTTGAAACGACCTTGCGTGGCGATCATGCCTTGCATGCGATCGCCACGACCAGCGCACTACCCCGGCCGTTGGACGACCCTGGCCCACGCACGGTTACGGTGCGACGCTAACCGTTACAACGATACTTGTCAGTGTAACTGGCAGACGTTTCAAGGTAACGCCGTTTCATCGCAAACTCTCACCAACCAGTCAAAACCATGGTCCGGATATATCCGGATACGGAGACGTATTTGGGTGGTTTCGGCTGCTGGACGGAAGACACGACGACCAATACTGTGCCAGAGAATCCACTAGAAGAAAGGAAATGTGTGCATGATGTCCTTCATACTGTCGTCGCACGCCGCGACGCGTGCTCGACAAGAAACGCTTCGAGTGCCCCAGATATCCCGCATCGACGCGACCAACGCGGCGGTGGTCGAGATGATGCTGGCCACGGGAACGACGGTGCAGCTCAAGACAGCTGCGCAGTTGGTCAAAGAACGCCGCATTGACTTTCGCCGTGCTCAGAAAGCGTCCAACGCCGGTATGTCGGTGACGAAAGCTGGAGCATCGACGGCGTCCGCCAAAGCGTCAAAAGCGACAGCGGGCGCCATTGTCGCCGTCGACGACATCCACGCCTTGGTGCGATGGGCTCAGCCCCGAAAGATTGGTCCAGGCCTCATGAACCTCGGCAACACGTGCTACCTCAACTCGGTGCTGCAGTGCCTCGTGTATTCACCTGCGTTTGCCCAGTACTTGATCCCTCGTGCAACCAACCAACCTGCCACAAAACACATCACGCCACATGCGGGCGGCAGTCCATTCCATGCAGAGAAAGCAATGGCCCGCTTCCTCTCCCTCATGCATTCTCCGACAGCGCCACGCGTCATGCAACCTCGTGACATCGTTGTGAACCTGAAGCAGATTGCAAAGGGATTCCGAATCGGACGGCAAGAAGACTCGCACGAGTTCTTCCGCCACCTCATGGATGCGCTGCACAAAGCTTCGCTCAGGCAGGCTGGGCTGACTGACAAAAGTCCGCTTGCGAACTCGACGCTCGTGCATTCGGTGTTTGGCGGAACTCTACGCAGTCACGTCCAATGTGCCAAGTGCAAGTATGTTTCAGAGCGCGTCGAACCATTCCTCGATTTGTCTCTGGAAGTGTCGTCTGGCATCTCTTCAATCAGTGCCGCACTAGCCCACTTCACGGCGGTGGAGACGCTGGACGCGGCGAACGCGTGGAAATGCAGCGGGTGCAGCCAGCGCAGCAAAGCGAGCAAGGGTCTCAACGTCCACGACATCCCCAACGCGCTCGTCCTGCATTTAAAGCGCTTTGATGCGTTCCATGGGAAGCTGAAAAAGCACATCGAATTCAGTGAAACCCTCAACTTGAACAATGGCGGCGCCAAGGGCGGCCGGATCTTGTCCAAGCCCCACGAGTACGCTACGTACGCTCTAACAGCGGTCCTCGTCCATGCCGGGTCGTCGCCCGACTGCGGCCATTACTACGCGTTTGTGAAGAGCCCAGCTGGCACGTGGCACGAGATGAACGATGAGACTGTCCGAGTCGTCAACATCCACACGGTGCTCCAGCAGCGTGCGTACATGCTATTCTACTCGCGGCAGCTGCCGCCTCCAGTCGTGAAGTCCAAGCCGCCAGTGGCTCCCGTGAAAGCGAATATGTCTGAATTCCCGGCAAAGCTCACGACATCGCCGGCAGTTCCCACTGCCAGCGACGATGGCGAAACATCCCAGGAAAGCATGAGCGGGGATGACGAAAACTATTCTCTCCAACACAGGAAGGTAGCCCGTGCTTCCGTTGCAGAGTCATCGTCTCCCGTGAAGGGCATTCAGAAGGAAAAAGGTCCCGTCCACTTCCTCCAGAAACCCACGCGAAGTGCATATGGCCCAGTTTTCCTTGGACGGCTGTGGAGGCATCATCGGTTCCATGCGGCGGCGTGGAAGCGGCATGGGGTGCCTCATTCGTCGGGCGAGGTATTCCCGGCGGCCGTCGAGAAGAGTGAGAACGGGGGTGCTGAAGCATCGACGGATCCCTCTCGGCGGCCAGTCGAACAGCACGTTGTGATCAAGGCCGGCTTCCGGCCGCACGCCAAGTTTCAAAACAGCTTGCTGTCGGCGGACGTCCCACAATGGCGCGACGACGACGAAGACGTGTCAGCAGACCTCCAGATCCAACACAACCAAAAAGTCCGCCAGTTGAACGCGGAGCTGTGGCAGGCGAAGCGCAGCAAGCAGCTCGACTTCTGGGACCAGACCCTCGACCAAGGCAAGCTGAAGAAGGTCAAGAAGCGAAAGGAGTTTGTGTCGAACGAAGGCAAGGCGAACCAGTTCCAACGAGTGCTCGACGCGAAAAAGCCCAAACGAGTGTAACATAGTCCCATCCATGGAAGTTCCTTGCAGGCTTTTCTGTTTAGCGTATGTGTCCTGGCATACTACGTACAGTGTGCTTGTCACGGTTGGAGAAGGTATTGGTTCCTGAAAACCAATGCGACTGCTACGGCAGCTATGACCGCATGGCGTTTGACTGGGCTAGCGGTATGTAGACATAAGCAACGATTGTATGGGCAAGGGATGGCTGCCGTGCGAACATGCCTCGAGCTCTCGTTGCCTAACCTCAACGAGGTGAGTTTACGTTAATCTGGATATGGGCATATTTTGACGTATATATATCAAAAACGGTTTTTTTTGATTTGGCAATTGCGCTCATGTTGGGGCGAAGTCTGCGGTGCGTTGGCGTCCGCACGTTCAGCTCGAATGCTGCATCGTCGGCGGGTATCATTGAGTTGATCAAGCAAGGACAAGCGGATGTGGCACTGGACGCGCTCGAAGACGCATCGAGTTCCCGTCCTGACGACTGGGATATCACAGACGCTTACGGATCGACGGCACTCACATTGGCGTCCCGAGGTGGCCATCTCTCGTTATGCCGCGCTATCTTGCCGCATGTGACTTCATCCGTGTTGAATCAAGCCAACATGTTTGGATCCACAGCTCTCATGTGCGCTTCCGCTTCAGGGCATGGAGAAGTATGCAAGGTACTGCTGGCTGCTGGGGCTGACGTCAACATCAAAACACGGTACGGGTCGACAGCGCTCAGCAAAGCGGCGGAAGCAGGACATGCTTCTATCGTAGATCAGCTGCTGGCTCACGGAGCGGACGCCTCGCCAAACGTGATGGGGAAAACACCGTGGGATTTGGCGGCAGAGAAGGGCCACGCTATTTTACCTCCAACTGACGTGTCGACGCCATCCCAATCTAACGCCGTGGACGACCAAGAGCTAGACACCACTCCGGCACGTGTGACGCGCATTTTGAGTCCCATGCACGTCGAGTGCGAGCTTCCGGATGGATTTACGGTGGTTGTTACCAAACCAGACAATGTCATGGTCCCCGTGCGCGGACAAGTAGAACTCTGCGCTCTTGACGGAGGAGCTGCCTATGAGTTCGTGGGAGTCATGAACAGAAACCGACGGGCGAAGCAACGCTGCCTGCATCCTCGGCGCTCCTTTGATAAGAAGTGTGTGGATTGCCCCGAGCGAAGAGTGTGCGACGGCCGTTGACGCGATGGACGCTGACACTCCCGTCCAAAGGAGATGAGCGTAATCCAAGATCCATTGTTCCTATCGTGGACTTGAAGCGCGCCCTTCGATTCATCCAATGTGCCAACATGTCGGTGTGTGTTCGTTCATTAGCTGACAATGTCCTAATAAGCGCTCGTTTCGTTGAGCCATTTTTCGAGCCCCTTGACGGGCTTCGCCTTGAGCAAGGCGGCTCTGTGCTCTTCGATCTTCTTCGGCATGGATGCCATGGCCGCTTGGATCTTCTTGACACGATCTTCTTCCTTGCGTTCGTTGGCATGGCCCTTGGGGGAGCGCATCACGGTGTGTTTCTTCGGGGCGTCCCATTCGGCCAACCAGCCGCCCTGACCAGGCGTCCACGTACCGATCGTGCCATTCTGGATGGCAACCTTCTTAACGGTCGCTTGCTGACGAAGGGAAATCATCGGATTCTTCCATCGACCCTTGACGAGGGTTGGCCGCAGGGCCATCGACGCCTCTTCCGCGCTGAGTTGCAGGAACCGCTGCATCTTGCTCCCGTGGAAGTTGACTTGTTCGTGTTGGCCAGCAATTAGCGGATTTGACGGTGATTGGCTGGATGTGTCCGGTCGTACTTAACAAATGTCGCTACATTTTAGCAAATCAAATCCATTCAGTGATAGGGATTCATGCAAATCCATCAAATTTCTTCGATATTCTTGAAGATTCATTCAATAGAATTGTATTGTATCAGAAAATAGAATTATTTTAGCGAATCAAAAGCTTGTATCTCCTCGACAAGGTATTTTCGAGAATCGAAGCGTACTTTATCGGACGTTTGAAAATCTTTTGATGCCATGTCCACAACAAAATCTCCGTAGCAACTCCGACAATGAGCGACGAGCAGCGCTTCGATGGTCTCTTGATGCAAATGGCGCAGCAACAGAACGGCATTGAGCCCATGCTAACCAGCGTGTTTGGATTCCTTCGTCGGAAGACTGACTTCTTCTCGGGGGCAACCCAAGAAGCGATTGAGCAGATGGTGCTGACCGTGGTGCGCAAAGAGTCTGCGATTGCCGAACGAGAACGGTACGATCGCAGGGTGCAGGAGGAAAAGGACAAGAAGAAGCGCCTTGAAGCCAAGCGAAAGAAGGAGGAAGAGGAAGCAGCTTCGCGGAAAACGCAGTCCCGATTTGAAGAAATCACAGACGATGAAGATGTCGTGCCGTCGGTGCCAGTGAAAACGTCTGCACCCGTAGCAGCGCCATCTCCTGTTACTGCTGCTCCTGCGCCTGCTGGTGACAACGCCGAAGACGACGACAAGGATGATGGCGCCCCACCTCTTGAAGGTATTTAGCTGTGCCGTTCTAGAGCCTCATTTCCTGTGGTTGGTAGGGAATGGTGGCAAGACCGACAATTACGTGTGGACCCAAACGTTGCAGGAAGCCCACGTAACGATCCCCGTGCCCCAAGGCACGACGTCGAAGCAAGTCGTTGTCGACCTTCGCTCCAAGACGTTGAAAGTGGGGCTGAAGAGCCAGCCGTTGATCGTGGATGGCGACCTGCACAAGAAAATCAAAGTCGAAGACAGTTTTTGGACGCTCGAGGACAACAACCGCATTTGCGTGTACCTCCAGAAGGAGAACCAAATGGAGTGGTGGAAATGCATCATGGTGGGCGACGTCGAGATTGACACGAAGAAGGTGCAACCAGAGAACTCGAAGCTGAGCGACTTGGATGGCGAAACGCGGCAAACGGTCGAGAAGATGATGTTTGACCAGCGCCAGAAGCAAATGGGGCTGCCTACCAGCGACGAACTGGGCAAGCAGGAGATCCTGAACAAGTTTATGAAGGCACACCCCGAAATGGACTTTAGCAAGGCCAAGATCAACTAAATGTGCAAGAGAAAATTCTGGATGGATGCACGTGGTGCGTCGACTTTGCGCTTTCTGGGCATGCATTGCTCCATAGACTGGACAGACGCGGTGCACGGGCACCGATTCCCCACAACCCGAGAGTGCTCATTTGCACGGAAGCATTCGGCAAAGAGTCCCTTTCTCGACAGCCACGACGTATCGGGAGTATCTGGAGGATGGCGGGGACATGGGATGCAACGAGGTGGTGCCAAAGGAAGAGGCAGATCCGTTGGTTCAGGGGACCTAATCCCGGAGGCAGAATCCAGCACTTCACGACGGAGCGTTCCAAGACCCGCGAGGAAGACGCGCTCCCCAACGAGCTAGGAATGCCCTTGGTTGCATGGAACCGGCGATGATTCAGGCACAGCGCTACTGCATGCTCGTCCCATCGCGAGGGCGGTGCATGTCTCGTGCGGTTGGGTCGAATCCCCAAGGAATGGGTCGCAAGTCGCTGTATTACGCATATCAACTGCACGCAGCGGGCACCGACATTGCAGGTTGAGAGCAGCATTTACCACACAGCGGCGCGCTCGTCCACTGGAAGGAACATTTTGTGGCCTTCTTCAACATGGAATGCCTTGTAGAACTCAGGCAAGTTCTTCAGGGGGACGTACGACCGCAGTTCGCCGGGGCTGTGCACATCCACGCTGAGCAGTTTGAGGGCTTGCTCGTCGCGGGCATGGCTGGCCCAGAACTGCGACCACGCGAGGAAGAAGCGTTGCTCGGGGGTGAAGCCGTCGATCTCGCCCGGCTTGGTGTGGTCTGCAAAGTACAGCTCCATGGCACGGTATGCGATCTTGAGCCCGCCAATGTCGGCAATGTTCTCGCCGAGCGTCATTTGGCCGTTGACCGACTTGCCGAGAATTTTGTACCCGTTGAACTGGTCGACGACGACTTTGGTACGAGCATTGAACGCTTCGACGTCCGCCTGGGTGGAAATGTCAGTGATCGATCGGCATGCAGGGGTCGTACCGGCGTCCACCACTCGGTCATGTTGCCACGGGCATCAAACTTTCGGCCTTGATCGTCGAACCCGTGGGTCATTTCGTGCCCGATCACGGCCCCGATCGCACCAAAGTTCATCGCGGCGTCTCGATCGAGCTATGCCATCCCACCGCGTTAAATCAACACATTTCGGGATGATATCGATGTACACTGAACGCAGGGAGCTGCAAAATGGCTGCAGGAAACACAATCTCGTTGTACATCGGGTGGTAGTACGCATTGACGACCTGCGGCGGCATTTCCCACCGCCACTTTTCCGCGGGCTTGTTGGCGCGGCCAAACAAGTCGTGGAACTGAAAGCGCTGGAGCTCAAGCACCATGTCGGCGTATGTCCCGGTCAACTGAATGGACGAGAGGTCGACCCATTTGTCTGGGTACCCCACTTTCGCTTGGAAAGCATCGAGCTTCTCGATCGACTTGGCCTTGGTCGCGTCCGTCATCCATTCCAGCGCCAGAATCTTTTCCCGGAGGGCGAGCTTGAGGTACCCGACCAATTCGAGCATCGCGTCCTTGGCAGTCGCGTTGAAGTAGCGCTCGCAGTACACGGCGCCGAGCAAGTCGCCGCAGCTGTTGTTCAGCGTCTCTACAACGCGCTTCCACCGCGGCGCGAGCTCCTTGGTGCCCGATAGCTTTTGGGAAAACGTAAAGTTCGCGTTCACGTACTGAGCTGGCAAGTACGGCAGCAGTTGATGCAGAATGTGCCACTTTGCATACGTCTTGTACTGCGGCAGCGTCTCGGGCGTCAGGTCCGCCACGAGAAACGTGAAGAATTCCGGCGTGGCTTCAATCGCCATCTCGGGGACGCACGTGCCGAGGCCTCGAAACACCGCCGTCCACGGGAACGGCGCGGCGGTCAGGTCCGTTTCCGTTCGCTTGTTGTAGAGAGACACGACGTCGCGCATGGCGGTGCGCGTGCGGGACACGTTGGCGAGCTTGGATTCGATGGTGACGACTGTTTCGGAAACAAAAGCACCATCACTACTGCTGTTGCCGCCGTAAAGTAGGTCCCAAGTGTGTGCAATGTGATCGCGATAGGCTTGGAGAAGAGGCGCCTTGTCTTCTTCCGTGTAGTAGTCGCGGTCAGGCAGTCCAAGCCCTCCTTGCGCAACCAAAACTCGAAGGATTTCCGACTGCTTGAAATCGGGCACGACCGTCAATCCAAACAGACATTGCAGTCCCTTCGACTGCAGGAACGCCACGGCTTCAATAAACGCGTCGACCGAGTCGACAGCGTCGATACGGGCAAACAATGGGTTCAAGGCCTCGGTACCCCCCGCTTCCACAGCATCCTCATCCAACGCAGTTCCCCAGAACTGAGCGATTTGTGCACTCGGCGTTCCAGCTTCAAGGGACTGCTTCTTTTCCGCCAATTCGTCACACAACGCTCGCAAGTTGGCCAGGACGTCGTCGCGCAACTTGTAGAAGACTCCCCACGCCGGGTATTCGTCCGGAATTGGGTTCTGGTCGACCCACCGTCCCCACGCAAACTCCTTGAAGTCGTTTCGAGGGTCCGCAGTCTCATTCATCGTGTCGAAGGGAAGGCCGGACGCGGTCGTCGACGGCGGCATGTCGGCGTCGTGAAGTGTCCAAAACCAAAGTGAAAGTGCCGCACAGTCGAAACTTGGATATGGATCATCCGGATACATATCCGGATCTGTCCCTTATCGTCAACAATGTCCACCCACATACATTCTTCGGGTGTGTCTCATTACCAAGGTGAAACCTACATTCCCGAATTGCATCCTCCACCCAGGCGTCGCGCCGCGTGTGCCGCCGCCACATCGACCGCCCTATTGGTAGCTCTTTCCGCTGGCGTGAGGCTACGATAGACTCTGGACGGCTTACAGACGTCTCGATTGTCACGCCATGACTCGTGCTATCGTGCCCGCCTTCCATGACGAAGGAAACGTCGTGGAAGGTTGGCGCGACGATTTCGATGTGTTGTACCGAGTTGGTGCGCGGGTTCCACGGGTCCTTTCTAAGTGTGCCCTCGCATGCCCGTCGTGGACTATGCTGTTGGCAATCGTGTGATATCTCCGTTCCCGAGAGACGAATCAGTCGTTGCAACGGGGCAAAATCTGTTCATGGCGATAGAGTGCCACTACATAAAGCGAACCTGTGCGCATTGCATGCACGCACGACGGATTGTGTGCAAGGAAGAAAATCACGTGGTGCCTGATGGGGCAAGACGCGATGGAGCACTGCGGTCGTGACGATTTCACACGGTTTCGCGCGCGCGTGGAGAAACTGTTTGCCAGCGAACGACGATCTCTCGCGACGCTTGGGCTTTCCAACCGACGTCGTTTGGAAACGAGGGTCGACGAAGATGGCGGACGATCAAGAGCACCAGGACTTGGTCGATGACGTGGATGCCACCCCTCGCGAACCATCGGACAACAACATTCGCATCTTCCTCCGCGTGAAGCCATCAAAACGGGTCCGTGTGCATGATTTGTTGGCGAAACACTAAGCATCGATGCAGGTGTCTGGGTTCTTTACATGGGAGGAGGAGCAAGGCGCGTTGGAGTACAACATCCCAAAGGACGTGGCGGCGGGGCTGATCAACAACTCTCGGACCCAGTGCGTCGACGGCGGCGCTGTCGACGATGCTCACGTGTGTGGCGATGGCGTAGGTACAAGTTCAAGTTTGACGCGTTGATTGGGATGGAAGCAAAGCAAGAGGAAGTTTTCGATCGCGTCGGCCGTCCTTGTGTTCAAAAGTACCGCGCCACCGCTGTCGTCGCTCGACTCACGTGCATGTGTCAGTGCGTTGGACGGATTCAACTCGACGATCTTTGCCTACGGGCAAACGGGGTCTGGGAAAACATTTACGATCACGGGGGGCGCCGAGCGATACGAAGATCGCGGGATCATTCCCCGCAGCTTGAGCATGATCTTTGACGAAATGAAACAGGTCGACGCTTGTGGCGCGCCGCCGTCCTCACGAATCTGTCGTAGCACCCCGACCGCCAAACGACGGCGTACATTTCGTACTTGGAAATTTACAACAACCAAGGCTACGACCTGCTCAACGAAGACCACCAAAACACCAAAGACATCGACGACCTGCCGTGCGTGCGCGCCGTGCACCCCAACTGCGTTGACGATCGCGCCATCCTGTTGTAGAAAGGTATCGATGCTCGAGGACGAAGACGGCAACTGCCACCTGCGCAACCTGTCGATGCACCGCGTCGCGTCGGAAGAAGAGGCGCTGAATTTGCTCTTCCTCGTACGAAAGCCCTCTATCCACGTCACGATCCATGGCTTGTAGGGTGACACAAATCGCGCCGTCAGTGAAACCTCGATGAACTTGGCTTCGTCGCGATCGCATTGCATTTTCACCGTGTCGCTCGAGTCGCGGCGGGGCGGCGGCAGCGAAGTCATCCTGCGATCCAAGTTGCACATGGTCGATCTCGCCGGGTACGTCCAGCTCTCTCGACTTGGCACGTCACAGGTTCATCCAGATCCGAGCGCGCGCACAAAACGGGCGCCAAAGGCAAGGTGCTCCGCGAAGCCACATACATCAACACGTCCCTCCACTACTTGGAAATGGTCATCGTCGCGCTCCATGAAAAGAATACCAAGGGGCGGACGCACATTCCGTACCGCAACTCCATGATGACATCCGTCCTTCGCGACAGCCTCGGCGGCAACTGCAAGACGGTCATGGTGGCGACGGCCAGCGCCGAGAAGGAGCAGACCGATGTATGTGTGCGGAGACGTGCATCACGCGCGGCCCACGCAATGTGCTTGTAGGAGTCGCTGTCCACGTGCCGCTTCGCCCAACGCGTGGCCCGAGTCCGCAACGACGCCCATCTGAACGAAGAAGTCGATCCTGTGATCGTGATCCGCCAGCTCAAGGCTCAAATCGTGGCCCTCCAGGAAGAGCTAACTGTGCTGAAGGGCGAAGCGGTGCGAGCTCTCGTTTGATCACGATCGACGTCGTGCAATTCACAAGGCGAGCGTTGGCTTTGCGTAGAAAGAAGGCGACGAGCTCAAAGAGTACGAGCAGGACAAGCTTCGTCAAAAGGTTTGGGCACGGCGCGGGCCTTGGCTGACGTTGCCTCGCGCACGTTTAGGTCGTTGATTTCGTCCACAACACCGACCCGAATGCGCATTTGAATATGGGCGAAATCACGTACACCAAGATGCGGCTCTGCTTTTCATTTCTCAAGGCGATGGCCCAGCCGGGAGCGAATGGCAGCACGAGCGCGGAGAACGCCAAGAACAACCAAACGGGCCACTCAAACCAAGACGGTTCATATGGAGCGCCCGATTCCGAGGTAAATCGCTGCTTTTTCTTCGATTCGTGTGATCATTGTGGCAACTCATTGTGTGGCTGGGACAGCTCCATGGGCGGCTCATGGAGCTGGAGCATACCATTCAACAGCGCGACAACGAGATCGCCATTCTTGTCAACATGCTCAAAAAGGTGCGTTCGAGATGGAGAACTTGGACGCCACACTGTTTTAAATGGTTCCTTGCTTTGCAGGGCAACCACCACGCGGCGTTGGCGCAGGTCGCTGCGAGTGCGGCGCCGAAAACGCCGCCGTCGATACCGAAACCAGTCTTGATCGGCGGCTTCGACATCAAGATCGACAATGCGGCCCTGGACAATCCCACCAAAGCGTTCGAGGTGTTTCGAGACCAGTACCCAAAGAACGACGTATGGTTCTCCACAGTGGGGTGTTGAGCCCCACGTTGGCATGGTGTAGGCGATTCGAGAAAACAAGGCGCTGCTCAAGAAAAAGTACGACCAAGCCAAGGCGCTTGCGGCCGCCGTGAACGACGCGCGCAATGCGATCAAGGACTGCACGGCCAAAATGGAAAAGCTTCGCAAAGACAAGGCCGTCGCGAGCGTCACGGGAGCGGACGGTGTCGTCGACCCCGCGCCATCCGACGACGAGAAAGCCCTCGCCGTCGCAATCGACGCCAAGAAACAAGAGTACAAAGTCGGCTTCAACCACCTGAACGACCTCAAGAAGGAGATCCAGCACATTCAAAAGATGCTCGAAATGGGCCGCCTCAAGCTCCAAAAGGATTTTGACGGGTGGTACCAAGCCCACGGACGTGGGCACTTGATCGCGGAAACCCTCGTCAACGGCGCCGACAAACCGGAAGCGCCGCCCGCGGTAAATGGACCGACCGAATCGTGCTAAAGTGATGATGGATCGTTGTAGAAACCACCGGCGCCCAAGGCCGCGTGGCCCCCGGCGTCCTCTGCCACATCTCCGAATCAAACAAAGGACCCCCCGTGCACCCCTCGGCAACAGGACATCCCTAAGACTGGCGACGCAGCGGTCGACAAGGACGTGTCGGGGTTCTACGAGGCACTCGATATCCTCAAACGCCGCAACAGTCGCAAGTTGTGACAGCACAAAAACCACGATTGTGCTGGTGGCTGGTCGACGTTGGGCGGCATGGAGTGGAATCGACTGTGTTTTCCTCGAACGAGTGCAGCAAGCGCCTAGACTCGGTGGACCAGCCACGTCATCGGCAGACGCTGCCTTGAAGGACTGCACGACCGGTGCCAGCATGTCTTGGATAATGTTAAAAACTTGTTTAGTTGCTGATATTCCATGAAAACGACGACGCTGGACGGACCTGCTTGATGAGCGGATGGTCCAACTTGGCATGGCATCGCTCGCACAACACGACCGACGGGCACATGGTGCATCGGTACAAGATGCCAACGATGGGCGATCCAAAGCAGCACGAGCAATTTGTGTTGGGGTGCGTCCACCTCGATCGGTTGTGCGTGATGTAGTTGGATGGTCCATACTGTGCATGCGTGAGCCGCACGAATGGATGGCTCGTCGGATGGCCAAGGACACACGTCTCACACCGGTCGTAGGCTGGGCATACCAAGCACTTGTAGTGAGCGTCTACACCCAGTCCAACAACGTGAGCAACGTCCGAGAAAGCCAACGGGACGCCCGCAATGTTTTGTTTGCAGCTGTCGCAAAAGACCCCGATGTGGTCGCGCTGCGTGGGCAACGATGTCACAAGGGACCCTGCCCACGTTGCCGCAGTCTGAACCGAGTGCAATTGGCATGCCAACGTCTGGAGGATGGCCTCGGTCACGATGCCGTTGCTCGTGGCTTGGTAAAACTGCAGCGTGACCCGAATGTGAAATGCCATGTCTCGCTGGACGCCAGAGTGCTTGCTCAGCTTGGGAAATGCGCCGTGGGCTTGCCCTGGACGACTACCGTCAACAACACCCCCAATGGACTGCTCTCGTTCTGTCGTACCCAACGTCACCATGGCCGGCTCGACGTCGGGTGCA